TTGTCAACCCTATAACTGTGGGATCTGGCAGAGGTTCCTCTGTCCTGGGGTACATGTTTAACACTTGAATTTCCCAGACTTTTCTAGGCCCTGGCCACCATTGAGGGGCTGTACTGCAATGATTCTATCACCTGAAAGGAGGTTGTGAGGTGGGGGTCTGTCTCCTTGCCCAAGTACCACGTGATAGGACAAGAGGAAACGACCTCAAGCTGCACCAGGTGAGCTTTAGGCTGGGTATTGGGAACAATTTCTTCCCCGAGAGGGTTGTCAAGCACTGGAACAGGCTGCCCAGGGCAGTGGTGGAGTCACCATCCCTGGAAGTGTTTAGAAGGTGTGCAGATGTTGCACTTCGAGACACGGTGTAGTGGTGAAAGGTGACCCCCAGCATGACTGACGCTGACATAGCTAATGCTGCTTGGATGCCGTTTCAAAATTCTGGCTGCTTTTGTATTTTTCTGGAAACGGAGGTGTACAATGGGCTCGGTTTGATGTCAGCTACAGCAGGTGATTTGAGCAACAGTCTTTTCATGTATGTGTGTATATATATATGTATCTTTGTGTGTATCTCTCTCTCTCTATATGAAACTTTCTTTTCTTTGCAGAGGTAGTGTGGGAGAAGGCCAGATCTAGCTGGCACAAACCCTTTGGGAAGAAGCAAAGAAAATGGAGGAATTCAGGGAAGAGCAAAAACTGCATCGGAAGAAGGTCAGGATGTTGATCCATTACCAATTACCATCCTTGGTGATGGATTTTGGCTCCTGGCTCGTTTCTCCCACCATGCCCCAGCCCCCTGCATGCTCCCAGTGCCTGTCGCTGCTGGGAAGTCCTGAGCTCCTTCCTATATGTTGAAGCCCTGCTGCTGAACCTCTGACTTCCTTCTTCTGACTGCCACATCTTCTCCTTTGGGTGCCTTTTGGGGCTGGCTATCGCAGGGCTCACCTCCAGAGACACCAGCCTCAACCAGGAATGTTCTTAAAGCATAGAGACATATATCTCATACATATAGTGTTGCGTGATGTCCATAGGGTTTGCTAAAATTGGCAAGTCTTTTAACCTCTTCTGGCTTGAGATTCCTTTGTCTGGAAAATGAGAGAAAACTGCTGCAAGTTTGGACGTAGCAGAATGGAGCTGGCTTCCCAATTTTCCTAGATTCAATGGAGATGATACAGTACTATATAATGGTGGATTTCATTTGTAGAGTTCCATTGCATAGACAGGTGGAGGCTTAGCTAGAAGTATAAAAGGTGGGTTTTGTGAAGATGCTTGAGGTGGACATAGGTCCTTATGGCCATCTGAATTTGGTCTGTGCCTCTTCCTTTCCTAAGCCACATAGTCCATCGTGGAGCTTCGATGCTCAGTGATGTGTTGACTCTCTTGTCTTCACAGATAGATCTGATAATGGAGGCGATTCAGAACATCAGGAGTCTGCAGTACGAGAAGACCATGGTGGTAAAGCAAACATGCTGCTCTTTCTTGCTATATGGTTTAACACTGCTACCATACGCACACAGTGCTGGCACAGTCTTACATATGAGGGTCTTCCTCTGCTGCAACTCATGCAGACACTACATCAAGAGCTGCAGCAGAGGAAGACCGTCACATTTAAGTCTGCATAGTGTGTTCTGAAAAACTGGAGAGTACACCACGGACATGGCTGGTGACAGCCTTGCATGGTAGGTTAAGAGTGATTTAGATGTTACGGACTCGATTGCTATGAGCTTTTCATGCCAAATGAAGAGCAGCTTGTCTTGTGAGGTCAGTTTTGGTCAAGCATCAGGGCACTGAGTGCCTTGTGTGCTGTCCCCTGCTCTGCGGGCAACCTTTGGTAACCTCTTCACTTGGAGGCTGTTTTGCTCCAGAGCTATGTGCATGAGCTGTAATAGTACCTCCTTGCTTGCTAACACGCTCCTGCCCTGTTTGTTGGCTCTCCTAGGCCAAGCGCCTTTATGAGCTCCAGCTCCTGGGTCAGGGCTGGCTCCTCAGAAACTCACGCCCAACATAGCAGGGATGGAGCTCACTCGAGAGCCATGCCATGGCTTCGCACCCCATTTCGTGTTTCTCACTGTTTCTCTGTGGCATGACCCTCCACCTTGCTGCACAGCTCTGTATTTCCTTGCGGTGCACATCCATAGCTGAGCTCACACATTACTGCTGCTTTCTCCCTGACATCCCTGCCGATTCAGGTTTTGTGTAGTGCCTTCTAGCAAAGGGTCTTTTTAATCCATGTTAATCAGATGACAGTGTGATTTGTTTCAAAGGCAGGAGTTACCAGCAGAGCGTTACAACACTGGAGAAGATCCGGGAAGAACGGCAAAGAGCACGTAAGAGCTTGTGAGGTAAAAGCCCCCAAACACCTTCACGTGGCAGTGTGGTCCTCTGGATGTCCACTCCTTGTTGTAGAAGTCCGGGATGGCACAGATCTGCCTTCTCTCTGTTGCCTTGGCAGTGAAGCAGCAGGACGTGTTGCAGCTAACCCTGTGTGTGCCTTAGGCGTGCCTTCTGCATTTAACGTCCCACCACTTCAAGGTTTCCACTATTTTTTTTTGTTTGTTTTTATTTTTCCTTCCACTACCTTTTCAAAGTAATAGAATCAAAGCAGTGACCTTTTTGCCCATTAACCTGCTTGCGCGTTTGGTGTGGCCATTATCCTGAGCTGCCGTGGTCACTTTCCGGGTACTCAGTGACTTAAGGCCAGTGTGTTTTACAGCCACGACACCACCTAGCAGACTCTGAAACTCTGATGGACTTTAAATGAATTTGCAGTAGAAGGCGCTGACACACTGGGGATGCAAGCTGGGTGAAGCCATCTCCATGTGAACCCAGTGTGCCAGCAGCCCTTCGCCATATATCTCACGTGGTAGCATGGGAACCCCTCTGAGCAGATGTATCAGTCTAAAGCAGACTGTGTCATAGCAAAATGGTCTAGCCAGGACTTCCAGCAAGTGCCAGGGAAATCCAGAGCTGGTTGCAAGAGGACCGTGATGCTGCTCTGCTGCTGACCTGTGTCTTGCAGCTGTCTGTGATGTGTAACCAAGGGTTTAATGAGGTGATGCGGCTCCTCTGCTCTCGTGAGACCTCACTTGGAGTATTGCGTACAGTTCTGGTGTCCTCAATATGAGAAGGACGTGGAGCTGTTGGGGCTAGTCCAGAGGAGGGCCACGAGGATGACAAGGGGGCTGGAGTACCTCCCATATGAAGACAGGCTGAGAAAGTTGCGGCTGTTCAGCCTGGAGGGGATAAGGCTGCGTGGAGTCCTCCGAGCAGCTTCCAGTATCTGAAAGGGGCCTACGAGAATGCTGGGGAGGGGACTCTTTGTTAGGGACTGTAGTGTCAGGACAAGGGGTAATGGCTTCAAACTTAAGCAGGGGAAGTTTACTTTAGATATAAGGAAGAAGTTCTTTACTGTGAAGGTGGTGAGGCACTGGAATGGGCTGCCCAAGAAAGCTGTGAACGCTCCATCCCTGGCAGCCTTCAAGGCCAGGTTGGACGCAGTCTTGGGTGGCATGGTTTAGTGCGAGGTGTCCCTGCCCATTGCAGGAGGGCTGGAACTAGATGATCTTAAGGTCCTTTCCAACCCTATTCTATGATTCTGTGATTCTATGGACAGGAAGTGCAGAGGGTGAGGTTTTATCCCATGTCTGCTGCAAGCTGGCAAACAAGTGATAACAAGTGCATATGCGCACATGGGATGAAAGGCTGCCTTCCAAGCTCATGAAATTGAGCTACACCAGACAGCACATATCAGAAGACTTGGGCTTAAAGCTACTTGGAAAAGGGATGGGCAGGAAAGAGAGAGAAGACAAACGAGTCAAGACGCTTTGCTTTCATAGATCCCCATGCTTTTTTATTGCTCCATAGTTGTGGGAGAGAAGTCAGCTGGGACTGCAGGACCATGGGGTACCTAGGAAACATGCAGTGCCTTTAGGAAGCTGGCTTCGTCTCCCCAGAGGTAGTGTTGTGCTGAGTGACCCCTTCCGCACGGGCCCTGCAGACCTTCCTGAACTTAACGCTCATCTTTGAAATACCTGGGTGTGTAAAGGGATGACTTCTTGTCTGGACGAGGTCTTTTCCAGCCTAGTTGGTTCTATGATTCTATGACTCATGGTTACCATGTTTCCTGCAGAAGACCAACATCACCTGCTCGTTGCTGTGGACAGAGATCTTTGTAGTGGGATGAGAAGAGATTAGAATAGAGATGTTAGGGCTGTTTTGTCTGTGTCGTTTCAGTTCTTTGAGACCCAGGAGTGCGAGCGGATCAACTATTTCCGCAGTGCCCTCCGGCTTCATGTTAGCCCACCATGACGTGCCTTGGTATCAGGTCTCTGTAAAGCCCAGGCTGGCCTAACCTCTTGCCTTCCCACTAGGTCTGGGAGGGCAGTTGGGGAGCACAGAGCCAGGGCACTGGGAGTCCCGGAGCCACGCAGATCCTCAGCTCTGACTTTTCTAATGTGCAGGAAGGCACCTCTACCCACCCTGACCAGTGCACCAGAATTACTTGCTTTATGGGGTTTCTGGCTCCACAGAAGAACTCTGCTTTTGCTCTTCCCCATCAGATCGTGAGCTTTAGCTGTCTAAAGGGAATGGTTTAGGTGAAGTCCGCCCCCCCCCCCCCCCCCCCCCCCCCGAAAGATCCTGGGAACCTGGACTCTGACTTTGGAGACAAGGTTTCACGAAGGAGAAGTTCTGATCAAAGCCCTGTATGTAGGCATTTGTGGAGCTTAAGGATGTCCAAGCTTGGGATCCCACCACTCTGCAGTTTAGGCCTTTCCCTCATTCAGCACCATGAGCTATATAATTCCCAGAGGCACTTTGGTGATGGACCTTGGTAAAATGCCTTGGTTGTTCAGCAAATCATAGAATCATAGAATCAAGACATCTCTTTCAGCCTCATCCACCATTGCCTTCCATCCCTTTGACACAGATGGCCAGTGTTTCTGTCCTGTGTAGTCTTGTAACGAGCACTTCTCATAAGCAGACCTCATTTTTTTTTGTGCTCTCTGTTTCAGGTGAGCCTGATTATGCCACAGTTGACGGCTACATCACTAGATGCTGTTGATCCTGTTTGTAGGTTCTCCAGGCAGAAGACACTGTTGGTCTGGCCAGTGTGGTGGTGTTTCCAGTTACTCCCAGCTGTGAGAGAAACAGTGTTGTTTTCGCATATTTGGGGATGGGGCTTTACAATATTAAGACTTTCCAATCTTAGAGCTTTAAGATCAATAGTAAAACTCTGCAAAAATAATAAGAGTTTTCAATACTAGGTCTGGGATTAAGTTCCTAAGGCAATGAAGGAAAGGGTTTGAGATCTACTTATTCAAATAGACACGCTTTGTGCTTAAAGACAGTGTCACCTCTAGATGAAAGACACACTCTGTGGTTAAAAAGAATACTATCTATGTATAACCTAGGAAACTAAACCGGTGCAGGCTGGTTAAGCAGTAAGTTGAGGTAACTTATTTATACCCAGAGTATTATCTCCAACCATACTGGGAATCACCTTGTCCTGGGTGATGTGTGGTTTACAACTGGCTTTAATGGGTGGATCTCACCCAGCGCATAGAGAAAATCTCTACAAAGTAAAATTATGATATGTAAAGGTCACATAGAATCTGAATGTGGGGCGTTAAGAGTGTGGTCCCGTGCCCTTGCTATTGCAAGTGCTGGAGGGGCAATAAGGCAAGTTCATGGCTGGGGGGCAGATGTGACAGGAGGGGATTCAATTGCTAGATTTAGAATAGGGATTTGGGAGCCAAAGAGGAACGAATGCGACCAGCCTGTGGACATCCACTATTCCTCCATCGGTGGGCACACGCACTCCACCAAATAGTCCTAAGATAGTAAATGTAATTGCAATTAAAGATTTGAAGTAGATGTTTGAAATAGAAACAGGATATAGAAATAGAAATGCCTGGGTAGAACGGGTCAAATATCCAGGGAAAATAGAATCGTTTTAGATATATTAGCTGAAAAGGGAGGAGTGTGCATAATGCTAGGGAATACGTGTTGCACATTTATTCCAAATAATAGAACACCAGATGGAGCCATAACCAGGGCGTTACAAGGCCTCACTATGTTGGCAGAAGAATTGGCTGAAAATACAAGAACAGGTTACTTCATTAACAGGATGGTTAGAATCCTGATTTGGAAAATGGAGAGGAATGGTGATATCAGCTTTTACTTCTGTAGTTGTAGTAGCAGGTGTATGAATAGCTATATGGTGCTACATAATTCCATATATGGGAAGACGTGTGCAACTTCTTGAAACAACTTTGTTGAAATAACTTTGTCAAAACAAATGCTCATGGGACCACCACCCTACTCTGATGAAATGCTTTTGATTAAAAAAAAATAAATTAAAGATGATTGGGGCGACTTATCTTTAGATCAAAACCACGAAATTACGTTATCCAGACTGGAAGCGACATATGGGGCAATTCTTTAAGGAAAGTGCAAAAACCAAAACCAGTATAATAAGAGAAAGGGGGAGTTGTGAGAGAAACAGTGTTGTTTTCGCATAACTGGAGATGGGGCTTTGCAGTATTAAGGCTTTCCAATATTAGAGCTTTAAGACCAACATTAAGGCTTTGCAATATTAAGAGTTTTCAATACTGGGGCTGGGGCTAAGTTACTAAGGGAACGAAACAAAGGGTTTGAGATCTAGTAACTCAAAAAAGACACACTCTGTGGTTAAAGCCAATGTCAGCTCTAGAGGAAAGATACGTCCAGTAAGGGGAGGTATAAACAGAGGCGAGACAGTTATCACATAGATTATAAGCACTGAATAGGCTGTAAACCTTGGAGTACCCAACCAGTGGGGAAACAAGGGAGGGAACTTGTGGACGGGGTAGGAAATAGAAATCATAGTTCTGCTGTTGCTGTGTGTGCCTACGTGCTAGGACACCCGCTTTTTGCAAAAACATTAATAAAGAGCTGCTTCGCTGTTGTGTCTACCCTGAGCTTATGTTTTTACCTAGATTCCATTTCTCACAGCAGCCACACAGAGCTGAAGTGCCTCTCTGTTTCAGCAAAGTATGTGAGGTCTCAGATAATTATCTGCACACTCAGAAAGTGCCTACTACAAATCTGTGCCTGTGGCCAGCAAACTGCTTGGACAGATATCCCATCTTCACACTCGGGGGAAGAAAAGGAATCTAAGCGATGGATCCAGTGCAGGGGCCATCTGTGTCAGAAGAGGTTTTTGATTTGAAATTCTTCTGAAGTGCAGCCATCTTAAAGAGGCTGGAGATAACCAAGAAGTCATACGTGCTGAGTGAGGGGAGTGTGCACAATGTTTTGGGACACTGGCTAATGTTTAGGGCATATATATCTCACTCAGATCTCAGGTTAAGCTTTTCCCTGTTGCTCAAGTCCTTCATTAATGGTGATTAAGCTTGTAATTTAGGTTTAATTTTGGCCATGTCTTTCAGGGAGCTCACTTAGAGGGACACCAACAATACGCTACGCGTCTGGCTTAGCTGTAGATGTGCTTTAGTTTTAAGTGCTGATACTGGAAGCTGCTTTGCATCTTGCCTGGTGTAGCAGTCCACAGTGCAGCTACCCAGTGAGAGGCTGTGCTGCCACAAACCTGCACCCTGCAGTGTTGCTGAGGATCTGGAGAAGTTGGTCAGCTCTTCAACCACCTCTCCAAGGAGGGGCTTGCAGACTTTTAGGTTCACGGTATAGCTTGTGCCTGGTAGGCTCTGCAGACCCTCATTTGATTAACTTCTGGTAAAGAAGTCCCTTGGACTTGTTGTGACTATGTACCACTGGAAAAAAACTTAGTTGTTAATGTTGGGCTGGAGCCCTGAAACTCATTTTCTGACCATATCTCCCAAAGTTCTTGCTTTTTTTGTTACCATATACGTGATCACGGCTTTGATTCAGAAACTCATGTGCTGCAGGGCTGCTGGTCTCTCTCATATCCTCATGTGCAGCATTGCTTAAGAAGCTCCTCAGTGCCTTATGGCACAGGGATGGAGGATAAGGGGACCAGCACACAGTTCAGCTATTTAAACCTGGTGCCAGGTGCCTTAACTTTGGAGCAACGGGAGTTGCTGATGTATGATATTCTTCAAGTTGAATCTGCGTGACTTCAGTGCATGTCTAAGCCAAACAGTCCCCGGAGCTTTTACTTTTTTACACCAAGACTTTAGCCTCCCCCTGCTCCCCTAGAGTCAGGCTGAGTTTCCTCACAGGCCTCTCTAGAGGGCCTCCCAGACACCCACAGAAGTGAAGGGCCTAACAAGAGAGCCTGATAACCAGCTGCACAGCTCCTGCCTTCCCCCCTAGGGACAGAGAGGCCACAGCTGCTTTAGTAAGACAAAATATGCAGAGGGATACAGGTAGCATGGAAGTCTTATGTCCCTTCAGATGCTGGGCATCCTGCCTTCAGGCAGAGTTAGAGCTCTTCCTTTTTGGTCCTATGAGCTAATACATAAAGCATCACAAGAAAACAGCATTAGTTATGAAGGAAGTTCACAGGAGCACTTCTTGCTGCGTTTCCAGATACAGGCAGGGCCAGGCAGCTGGTGTGTCAGTATCAGGCAGGAGCTGCCCATAAACCCCGTTAGCAGGCCTTGGGCAGTGCAGACCAGCCCTGTGCCTGCTCAGGGGATCACCACCTCCGTAATGTGCAATGGGCTCCTGGTCAAGATCATCTCTGCCTTGACCCACACGCAATTTACCTTTCCCACAGGTATTATAAATGACACATGATGTTGATAACAAAGGGTCTTCTCAAGGCCAAGTACAAGGCCTAAGAGAGTGGACATTACCTGTTCAAGATCATTAGGTCTTTGACTACAATGTCTTCTGCAAGGAGGGACTGAGCTCTGCAGGGACTCCTCCATCTGGGGACTGGCTGCAATCACTTCTGCTCCAGTGGGGCATGGCCTCGGCTCCAGCGGTGGCTCCCTGGGGCAGCTGAGCACCTGAGTAGGGATCAAAAGGGTCAGTGACGCCTGGTCCCCCAGACTGAGACTGGAGCCCCGCTGCGGCTGGAGATGCCTCAGGCACTGCAGACAGGCTGCCCCGCTCCGGTGGCTCTTCCGGGTCCTGCTACGGCACAAGTAGAAAGAAGAGAACTCACACTCCCCAGCCTCAGTAGTAGGGCCTTGGTTTCTTACCTCGCATTCCCTATAGCGGCAGCTGGACCTCCCCACAGACCCTTATAGAGACACCTGGCCTTGTCCCAGACTCTTATGGAGGAGACTCCCTCCCCACCCCCCTCCGCACCGGGGGCGTTACAGGAGAGCCTGGCCCCTCCGCAGGTCCCTATAGGCGAAGCTGGCCTCCTCCTAGGCTCCTCTAGATGAGCCTTGCCTCCCTGCCAGTCCTTCTAGGGGGAGCCTGGCCACTCCCTTATAGAGAAGTTTGGATTCTTTCCCGGCTCCTAGAGATGATCCTGGCCTCCCAGCCGGTCCTCAGTAGGGGAACTTACCTCCCTCCCAGGCTCCTGTAGAGGAGCTTGGCCTCCACACAGCACTTTATAAAGGATTCTGTTCCCCCACAGGCCCTTGTAGGAGGGCCGATCCTCATCTCTAACACTTATGGAGGGGCCTGGCCGCCCCACAGGATCCTATGGGGTAGTCCCACCTCTCCCCACGCCCTTACTAAGGAACCTAGCCTTCCCATATCTGAGCCTATATGTGAGCCTACCCCAAGCCCGCTCCCATCCTGACAGGAGACCTGCCTCACCCAGGCCTGGCGGCCATGCTCCGGCTCCCAGCTCTGCGTTCTGCGCTGAGTCCTTCCGTGCTTCACGTAGCCACCGCCCTGCTGACTGGAAGGGAGCGGGTGGGGGCGGTGTCAATCTCCCCCTCGCTTCCGCCCGCAGTACCCGTGGCTGCGGCTTGGTGGTGCCGCAGAGTATGGCCCTGGTGGAGGCCGTGAGGGCGCCCCGCAAGGCCCACACCAAGAGCAGGCCCGAGGTGCGGGGGGAAGGCGGGGATCGGCTCCGGGTGAGGCTCCTCCGGTCCTCGTCCGGGCTGCTTCCGCCGCCTGCCGGTTGTGGTGGGTCCGGCGAGCTTAGAGGGGCGGGGAGGAGCCTGCGGGGCTGGTACACGCCGGAGGGGGGGGTGTTCGTCAGCCCTTTGTCTCGTGTTCGCGCCTATTCCTGAGTGGGTTTAAAGCGGCGGAGAGGGTGTCAGCTCCAGGCCGTGCTTGTGTCCGTGTTTGTTTGTCTGCTGCTGGAAGCGGCTAGATCGGGGGCGGGGTGTGCCTATCTGAAAACACATGTCCCATCCCTGGCAGTGATCTAGGCCAGGCTGGACGGGGCTTAGCACAACCTGGTCTAATGGAAGGTGTCCCTGCCCAGGTTTCAGTAGTTGTGGAATGATCTGAACTGAAATACCTTGCCTCACAGCCAGATCAAGTTGGAAATGTTTCTCTGAATTGCCTGACCTCTTTCATCTTGTACACTGCACCCCGGAGAGCAACGGCAGTGAAGTCCTGGTTGTCAAAGCCCTTTGAGAATAAGTCGGTGAATTAATTGACCACTGTTTGAGAAAACAAGGGTCAGAGCTAAGTGTCAGCTATGGCTGTGATTCCAGAACAAGTTTTATTTTGTGGCTGTGCTTCCATGATTTATTTGGTGGCAGGGCATGGCTGGAGCCACACATGAAGTCAAGCAGACTGTCGCCACACAGGGCAGGTTTTACCTTTCCTTAAACACGGACTTCGTTACCACCGTGCTCATTCCCCCTTAGGCCAACGCGACTGATCCTGGCTGCAGCAGTGAGGATGGTACTGCTGCAAAGGAAGTTTTTTTACATGTTCGGTGACAAATGTATCTTGCAAACTACTGTTTGAAGACAGAATCCTGAATCCCTGGGTACGTAGCTCTACTTCTACCTGAATCTCTTAAGCTTAGTAATCCTCGCTGTGACACATTCTTCTGAGGTAGTGTATGATCTCTATTTCCCAAGTCCATGTACATGATTTGGGTGGTGGTGGGGTAGGTGTGCAAATACACGTTCCTGTATTGTCAACCCTATAACTGTGGGATCTGGCAGAGGTTCCTCTGTCCTGGGGTACATGTTTAACACTTGAATTTCCCAGACTTTTCTAGGCCCTGGCCACCATTGAGGGGCTGTACTGCAATGATTCTATCACCTGAAAGGAGGTTATGACGTGGGGGTCTGTCTCCTTGCCCAAGTACCACGTGATAGGACAAGAGGAAACGACCTCAAGCTGCACCAGGTGAGCTTTAGGCTGGGTATTGGGAACAATTTCTTCCCCGAGAGGGTTGTCAAGCACTGGAACAGGCTGCCCAGGGCAGTGGTGGAGTCACCATCCCTGGAAGTGTTTAGAAGGTGTGCAGATGTTGCACTTCGAGACACGGTGTAGTGGTGGATTTAGCAGCGTAGGGTAAACGGTTGGACTCAATAATCATAAAGGTCTTTTCCAGCCTAAATGATTCCACACTTCTAATCAGAGCATCTACAAGATGATGCTTTGGACATCGTGGGGTTTAAACCACGACACCATCTTACATTGTGCCTTCATTTCCGTGTACACATGGCGGGCAGCATCCCTACCCCAAGGGCTGGCACTCTGCTTCCTGTGCTGAGTCCACTCTCTGCTGCAGCCACGTTTGTCTGCTGCCCTGAGCCTTGGTGAACGTCCCCAGCATGGCTCTGCTGTCGAAGCAGCTGGCTATTCATGGCTGTGGGTTTGAAACAGCTCCGGGTCTTGAATCCTGAGCTACACTTATCATATGTCTCTCAATGAGCTTACTGGGGTGCTGTTCTGCGGTATGGCCACTCACTTTCAACAGGATGAGCCTGAGGGTTTTGTAGCATCAGTTTTTCTGTGCCCCAGCTTGACTGTGTGCTAACCCGGGGCAACTCTTTGCTTCAGGTTGCTGTGTGTTGAAAGCTGGCTGTATTCATTGGGGTGAGGGGCAGATGTGACTGTGCTTGCTTGAAGAACTTCTTGATTCCTGTTTTCTTACACTGAAAGGTGACCCCCAGCATGACTGACGCTGACATAGCTAATGCTGCTTGGATGCCGTTTCAAAATTCCGGCTGCTTTTGTATTTTTCTGGAAACGGAGGTGTACAATGGGCTCGGTTTGATGTCAGCTACAGCAGGTGATTTGAGCAACAGTCTTTTCATGTATGTGTGTATATATATATGTATCTTTGTGTGTATCTCTCTCTCTATATATGAAGCTTTCTTTTCTTTGCAGAGGTAGTGTGGGAGAAGATCAGATCTAGCTGGCACAAACCCTTTGGGAAGAAGCAAAGAAAATGGAGGAATTCACGGAAGAGCAAAAACTGCATCGGAAGAAGGTCAGGATGTTGATCCATTACCAATTACCATCCTTGGTGATGGATTTTGGCTCCTGGCTCGTTTCTCCCACCATGCCCCAGCCCCCTGCATGCTCCCAGTGCCTGTCGCTGCTGGGAAGTCCTGAGCTCCTTCCTATATGTTGAAGCCCTGCTGCTGAACCTCTGACTTCCTTCTTCTGACTGCCACATCTTCTCCTTTGGGTGCCTTTTGGGGCTGGCTATCGCAGGGCTCACCTCCAGAGACACCAGCCTCAACCAGGAATGTTCTTAAAGCATAGAGACATATATCTCATACATATAGTGTTGCGTGATGTCCATAGGGTTTGCTAAAATTGGCAAGTCTTTTAACCTCTTCTGGCTTGAGATTCCTTTGTCTGGAAAATGAGAGAAAACTGCTGCAAGTTTGGACGTAGCAGAATGGAGCTGGCTTCCCAATTTTCCTAGATTCAATGGAGATGATACAGTACTATATAATGGTGGATTTCATTTGTAGAGTTCCATTGCATAGACAGGTGGAGGCTTAGCTAGAAGTATAAAAGGTGGGTTTTGTGAAGATGCTTGAGGTGGACATAGGTCCTTAAGGCCATCTGAATTTGGTCTGTGCCTCTTCCTTTCCTAAGCCACATAGTCCATCGTGAAGCTTCGATGCTCAGTGATGTGTTGACTCTCTTGTCATCACAGATAGACCTGATAATGGAGGCGATTCAGAACATCAGGAGTCTGCAGTACGAGAAGACCATGGTGGTAAAGCAAACATGCTGCTCTTTCTTGCTATATGGTTTAACACTGCTACCATACGCACACAGTGCTGGCACAGTCTTACATATGAGGGTCTTCCTCTGCTGCAACTCATGCAGACACTACATCAAGAGCTGCAGCAGAGGAAGACCGTCACATTTAAGTCTGCATAGTGTGTTCTGAAAAACTGGAGAGTACACCACGGACATGGCTGGTGACAGCCTTGCATGGTAGGTTAAGAGTGATTTAGATGTTACGGACTCGATTGCTATGAGCTTTTCATGCCAAATGAAGAGCAGCTTGTCTTGTGAGGTCAGTTTTGGTCAAGCATCAGGGCACTGAGTGCCTTGTGTGCTGTCCCCTGCTCTGCGGGCAACCTTTGGTAACCTCTTCACTTGGAGGCTGTTTTGCTCCAGAGCTATGTGCATGAGCTGTAATAGTACCTCCTTGCTTGCTAACACGCTCCTGCCCTGTTTGTTGGCTCTCCTAGGCCAAGCGCCTTTATGAGCAGCACCGCAGGGATAAGGGTGAGGCGGAACAAGCTGTGCACCACCACACAATGTGGTTACACAGAAGCAGCAGGAGAAGGTATAGAGAGGCGGGTGGCCATGGGACAGGAAGAGTGTATGCTCTTTGGGCTCTCCTGCCCCATAACACTTCTCCCAGCTCTGGGTTTGGGGGTGAGATGGAAGGGCTGGCAATGTTCTCTAGCTGGCCTTCAATACCGTTGGTGATGCACGTTAGCTCTCCTGTAGCTTTCTTCTCTCTCCCAGTTTTGGCAGCTGTTCCTCAATCTAGCTCAGATGAAATCACCTCCGGAAGACTCTGGTGAGTGTGGCAATGCAGGGTTTGGAGGGTGAGGGGAGTGTTTGCTGGGGCAGGGGTTGTGAAGCCATGGCATGGCTCTTGAGCGAGCTCCAGCTTCTGGGTCAGGGCTGGCTCCTCAGAAACTCACGCCCAACATAGCAGGGATGGAGCTCACTCGAGAGCCATGCCATGGCTTCGCACCCCATTTCGTGTTTCTCACTGTTTCTCTGTGGCATGACCCTCCACCTTGCTGCACAGCTCTGTATTTCCTTGCGGTGCACATCCATAGCTGAGCTCACACATTACTGCTGCTTTCTCCCTGACATCCCTGCCGATTCAGGTTTTGTGTAGTGCCTTCTAGCAAAGGGTCTTTTTAATCCATGTTAATCAGATGACAGTGTGATTTGTTTCAAAGGCAGGAGTTACCAGCAGAGCGTTACAACACTGGAGAAGATCCGGGAAGAACGGCAAAGAGCACGTAAGAGCTTGTGAGGTAAAAGCCCCCAAACACCTTCACGTGGCAGTGTGGTCCTCTGGATGTCCACTCCTTGTTGTAGAAGTCCGGGATGGCACAGATCTGCCTTCTCTCTGTTGTCTTGGCAGTGAAGCAGCAGGACGTGTTGCAGCTAACCCTGCGTGTGCCTTAGGCGTGCCTTCTGCATTTAACGTCCCACCACTTCAAGGTTTCCACTATTTTTTTTTTTGTTTGTTTTTATTTTTCCTTCCACTACCTTTTCAAAGTAACAGAATCAAAGCAGTGACCTTTTTGCCCATTAACCTGCTTGCACGTTTGGTGTGGCCATTATCCTGAGCTGCCGTGGTCACTTTCCGGGTACTCAGTGACTTAAGGCCAGTGTGTTTTACAGCCACGACACCACCTAGCAGACTCTGAAACTCTGATGGACTTTAAATGAATTTGCAGTAGAAGGCGCTGACACACTGGGGATGCAAGCTGGGTGAAGCCATCTCCATGTGAACCCAGTGTGCCAGCAGCCCTTCGCCATGTATCTCACGTGATAGCATGGGAACCCCTCTGAGCAGATGTATCAGTCTAAAGCAGACTGTGTCGTAGCAAAATGGTCTAGCCAGGACTTCCAGCAAGTGCCAGGGAAATCCAGAGCTGGTTGCAAGAGGACCGTGATGCTGCTCTGCTGCTGACCTGTGTCTTGCAGCTGTCTGTGATGTGTAACCAAGGGTTTAATGAGGTGATGCGGCTCCTCTACTCTGCTCTCGTGAGACCTCACTTGGAGTATTGCGTACAGTTCTGGTGTCCTCAATATGAGAAGGACGTGGAGCTGTTGGGGCTAGTCCAGAGGAGGGCCACGAGGATGACAAGGGGGCTGGAGTACCTCCCATATGAAGACAGGCTGAGAAAGTTGCGGCTGTTCAGCCTGGAGAGGATAAGGCTGCGTGGAGTCCTCCGAGCAGCTTCCAGTATCTGAAAGGGGCCTACGAGGATGCTGCGGATGGGACTCTTTGTTAGGGACTGTAGTGTCAGGACAAGGGGTAATGGCTTCAAACTTAAGCAGGGGAAGTTTACGTTAGATATAAGGAAGAAGTTCTTTACTGTGAAGCTGGCGAGGCACTGGAATGGGCTGCCCAAGGAAGCTGTGAACGCTCCATCCCTGGCAGCCTTCAAGGCCAGGTTGGACGCAGTCTTGGGTGGCATGGTTTAGTGCGAGGTGTCCCTGCCCATTGCAGGAGGGCTGGAACTAGATGATCTTAAGGTCCTTTCCCCCTATTCTATGATTCTGTGATTCTATGGACAGGAAGTGCAGAGGGTGAGGTTTTATCCCATGTCTGCTGCAAGCTGGCAAACAAGTGATAACAAGTGCATATGCGCACGTGGGATGAAAGGCTGCCTTCCAAGCTCATGAAATTGAGCTACACCAGACAGCACATATCAGAAGACTTGGGCTTAAAGCTACTTGGAAAAGGGATGGGCAGGAAAGAGAGAGAAGACAAACGAGTCAAGACGCTTTGCTTTCATAGATCCCCATGCTTTTTTATTGCTCCATAGTTGTGGGAGAGAAGTCAGCTGGGACTGCAGGACCATGGGGTACCTAGGAAACATGCAGTGCCTTTAGGAAGCTGGCTTCGTCTCCCCAGAGGTAGTGTTGTGCTGAGTGACCCCTTCCGCACGGGCCCTGCAGACCTTCCTGAACTTAACGCTCATCTTTGAAATACCTGGGTGTGTAAAGGGATGACTTCTTGTCTGGACGAGGTCTTTTCCAGCCTAGTTGGTTCTATGATTCTATGACTCATGGTTACCATGTTTCCTGCAGAAGACCAACATCACCTGCTCGTTGCTGTGGACAGAGATCTTTGTAGTGGGATGAGAAGAGATTAGAATAGAGATGTTAGGGCTGTTTTGTCTGTGTCGTTTCAGTTCTTTGAGACCCAGGAGTGCGAGAGGATCAACTATTTCCGCAGTGCCCTCCGGCTTCATGTTAGCCCACCATGACGTGCCTTGGTATCAGGTCTCTGTAAAGCCCAGGCTGGCCTAACCTCTTGCCTTCCCACTAGGTCTGGGAGGGCAGTTGGGGAGCACAGAGCCAGGGCACTGGGAGTCCCGGAGCCACGCAGATCCTCAGCTCTGACTTTTCTAATGTGCAGGAAGGCACCTCTACCCACCCTGACCAGTGCACCAGAATTACTTGCTTTATGGGGTTTCTGGCTCCACAGAAGAACTCTGCTTTTGCTCTTCCCCATCAGATCGTGAGCTTTAGCTGTCTAAAGGGAATGGTTTAGGTGAAGTCCGCCCCCCCCCCCCCCCCCCCCCCCGAAAGATCCTGGGAAGCTGGACTCTGACTTTGGAGACAAGGTTTCACGAAGGAGAAGTTCTGATCAAAGCCCTGTATGTAGGCATTTGTGGAGCTTAAGGATGTCCAAGCTTGGGATCCCACCACTCTGCAGTTTAGGCCTTTCCCTCATTCAGCACCATGAGCTATATAATTCCCAGAGGCACTTTGGTGATGGACCTTGGTAAAATGCCTTGGTTGTTCAGCAAATCATAGAATCATAGAATCAAGACATCTCTTTCAGCCTCATCCACCATTGCCTTCCATCCCTTTGACACAGGTGGCCAGTGTTTCTGTCCTGTGTAGTCTTGTAACGAGCACTTCTCATAAGCAGACCTCATTTTTTTTTGTGCTCTCTGTTTCAGGTGAGCCTGATTATGCCACAGTTGACGGCTACATCACTAGATGCTGTTGATCCTGTTTGTAGGTTCTCCAGGCAGAAGACACTGTTGGTCTGGCCAGTGTGGTGGTGTTTCCAGTTACTCCCAGCTGTGAGAGAAACAGTGTTGTTTTCGCATATTTGGGGATGGGGCTTTACAATATTAAGACTTTCCAATCTTAGAGCTTTAAGATCAATAGTAAAACTCTGCAAAAATAATAAGAGTTTTCAATACTAGGTCTGGGATTAAGTTCCTAAGGCAATGAAGGAAAGGGTTTGAGATCTACTTATTCAAATAGACACGCTTTGTGCTTAAAGACAGTGTCACCTCTAGATGAAAGACACACTCTGTGGTTAAAAAGAATACTATCTATGTATAACCTAGGAAACTAAACCGGTGCAGGCTGGTTAAGCAGTAAGTTGAGGTAACTTATTTATACCCAGAGTATTATCTCCAACCATACTGGGAATCACCTTGTCCTGGGTGATGTGTGGTTTACAACTGGCTTTAATGGGTGGATCTCACCCAGCGCATAGAGAAAATCTCTACAAAGTAAAATTATGATATGTAAAGGTCACATAGAATCTGAATGTGGGGCGTTAAGAGTGTGGTCCCGTGCCCTTGCTATTGCAAGTGCTGGAGGGGCAATAAGGCAAGTTCATGGCTGGGGGGCAGATGTGACAGGAGGGGATTCAATTGCTAGATTTAGAATAGGGATTTGGGAGCCAAAGAGGAACGAATGCGACCAGCCTGTGGACATCCACCATTCCTCCATCGGTGGGCACACGCACTCCACCAAATAGTCCTAAGATAGTAAATGTAATTGCAATTAAAGATTTGAAGTAGATGTTTGAAATAGAAACAGGATATAGAAATAGAAATGCCTGGGTAGAACGGGTCAAATATCCAGGGAAAATAGAATCGTTTTAGATATATTAGCTGAAAAGGGAGGAGTGTGCATAATGCTAGGGAATACGTGTTGCACATTTATTCCAAATAATAGAACACCAGATGGAGCCATAACCAGGGCGTTACAAGGCCTCACTATGTTGGCAGAAGAATTGGCTGAAAATACAAGAACAGGTTACTTCATTAACAGGATGGTTAGAATCCTGATTTGGAAAATGGAGAGGAATGGTGATATCAGCTTTTACTTCTGTAGTTGTAGTAGCAGGTGTATGAATAGCTATATGGTGCTACATAATTCCATATATGGGAAGACGTGTGCAACTTCTTGAAACAACTTTGTTGAAATAACTTTGTCAAAACAAATGCTCATGGGACCACCACCCTACTCTGATGAAATGCTTTTGATTAAAAAAAAATAAATTAAAGATGATTGGGGCGACTTATCTTTAGATCAAAACCACGAAATTACGTTATCCAGACTGGAAGCGACATATGGGGCAATTCTTTAAGGAAAGTGCAAAAACCAAAACCAGTATAATAAGAGAAAGGGGGAGTTGTGAGAGAAACAGTGTTGTTTTCGCATAACTGGAGATGGGGCTTTGCAGTATTAAGGCTTTCCAATATTAGAGCTTTAAGACCAACATTAAGGCTTTGCAATATTAAGAGTTTTCAATACTGGGGCTGGGGCTAAGTTACTAAGGGAACGAAACAAAGGGTTTGAGATCTAGTAACTCAAAAAAGACACACTCTGTGGTTAAAGCCAATGTCAGCTCTAGAGGAAAGATACGTCCAGTAAGGGGAGGTATAAACAGAGGCGAGACAGTTATCACATAGATTATAAGCACTGAATAGGCTGTAAACCTTGGAGTACCCAACCAGTGGGGAAACAAGGGAGGGAACTTGTGGACGGGGTAGGAAATAGAAATCATAGTTCTGCTGTTGCTGTGTGTGCCTACGTGCTAGGACACCCGCTTTTTGCAAAAACATTAATAAAGAGCTGCTTCGCTGTTGTGTCTACCCTGAGCTTATGTTTTTACCTAGATTCCATTTCTCACAGCAGCCACACAGAGCTGAAGTGCCTCTCTGTTTCAGCAAAGTATGTGAGGTCTCAGATAATTATCTGCACACTCAGAAAGTGCCTACTACAAATCTGTGCCTGTGGCCAGCAAACTGCTTGGACAGATATCCCATCTTCACACTCGGGGGAAGAAAAGGAATCTAAGCGATGGATCCAGTGCAGGGGCCATCTGTGTCAGAAGAGGTTTTTGATTTGAAATTCTTCTGAAGTGCAGCCATCTTAAAGAGGCTGGAGATAACCAAGAAGTCATACGTGCTGAGTGAGGGGAGTGTGCACAATGTTTTGGGACACTGGCTAATGTTTAGGGCATATATATCTCACTCAGATCTCAGGTTAAGCTTTTCCCTGTTGCTCAAGTCCTTCATTAATGGTGATTAAGCTTGTAATTTAGGTTTAATTTTGGCCATGTCTTTCAGGGAGCTCACTTAGAGGGACACCAACAATACGCTACGCGTCTGGCTTAGCTGTAGATGTGCTTTAGTTTTAAGTGCTGATACTGGAAGCTGCTTTGCATCTTGCCTGGTGTAGCAGTCCACAGTGCAGCTACCCAGTGAGAGGCTGTGCTGCCACAAACCTGCACCCTGCAGTGTTGCTGAGGATCTGGAGAAGTTGGTCAGCTCTTCAACCACCTCTCCAAGGAGGGGCTTGCAGACTTTTAGGTTCACGGTATAGCTTGTGCCTGGTAGGCTCTGCAGACCCTCATTTGATTAACTTCTGGTAAAGAAGTCCCTTGGACTTGTTGTGACTATGTACCACTGGAAAAAAACTTAGTTGTTAATGTTGGGCTGGAGCCCTGAAACTCATTTTCTGACCATATCTCCCAAAGTTCTTGCTTTTTTTGTTACCATATACGTGATCACGGCTTTGATTCAGAAACTCATGTGCTGCAGGGCTGCTGGTCTCTCTCATATCCTCATGTGCAGCATTGCTTAAGAAGCTCCTCAGTGCCTTATGGCACAGGGATGGAGGATAAGGGGACCAGCACACAGTTCAGCTATTTAAACCTGGTGCCAGGTGCCTTAACTTTGGAGCAACGGGAGTTGCTGATGTATGATATTCTTCAAGTTGAATCTGCGTGACTTCAGTGCATGTCTAAGCCAAACAGTCCCCAGAGCTTTTACTGCATTTCCTTCGGCGGAGAAGATGGCAGTGAGCTTAAACATCTCCCCTAATGCATTACAACGGACTGTGCAAAGTGCACATGCGAAGGAATCGGCTGTCCATTTTTATTTCTGAAAGACCAAGCGTAGAAATAGTCTGCTGAAGGACCCTGCTGTAGTCTTAGTTCTTACATACATCTTCTATGATAAAGTTTTGAGACTTGCGTGGTGGCTATCTTTCTTCTGAAAGATGTCATACTCACTTTTTTTATCTAGGCTAGGGTGGGTACACCTTCAAAGCACCCTAGGATGTTCAGGTTCCTTCTCCTGGGAGGAAGCCTACAAGAGCATATCCTTGCTCAGCCTTTATTTCCTACTTGCTCAATACCACGACAGCTCTGGGACAGAACACACCAAGACTTTAGCCTCCCCCTGCTCCCCTAGAGTCAGGCTGAGTTTCCTCACAGGCCTCTCTAGAGGGGTTTGTCCTCCTCCCAGACACCCACAGAAGTGAAGGGCCTAACAAGAGAGCCTGATAACCAGCTGCACAGCTCCTGCCTTCCCCCCTAGGGACAGAGAGGCCACAGCTGCTTTAGTAAGACAAAATAAGCAGAGGGATACAGGTAGCATGGAAGTCTTATGTCCCTTCAGATGCTGGGCATCCTGCCTTCAGGCAGAGTTAGAGCTCTTCCTTTTTGGTCCTATGAGCTAATACAAAAAGCATCACAAGAAAACAGCATTAGTTATGAAGGAAGTTCACAGGAGCACTTCTTGCTGCGTTTCCAGATACAGGCAGGGCCAGGCAGCTGGTGTGTCAGTATCAGGCAGGAGCTGCCCATAAACCCCGTTAGCAGGCCTTGGGCAGTGCAGACCAGCCCTGTGCCTGCTCAGGGGATCACCACCTCCGTAATGTGCAATGGGCTCCTGGTCAGTATCATCTCTGCCTTGACCCACACGCAATTTACCTTTCCCACAGGTATTATAAATGACACATGATGTTGATAACAAAGGGTCTTCTCAAGGCCAAGTACAAGGCCTAAGAGAGTGGACATTACCTGTTCAAGATCATTAGGTCTTTGACTACAATGTCTTCTGCAAGGAGGGACTGAGCTCTGCAGGGACTCCTCCATCTGGGGACTGGCTGCAATCACTTCTGCTCCAGTGGGGCATGGCCTCGGCTCCAGCGGTGGCTCCCTGGGGCAGCTGAGCACCTGAGTAGGGATCAAAAGGGTCAGTGACGCCTGGTCCCCCAGGCTGAGACTGGAGCCCCGCTGCGGCTGGAGATGCCTCAGGCACTGCAGACAGGCTGCCCCGCTCCGGTGGCACTTCCGGGTCCTGCTACGGCACAAGTAGAAAGAAGAGAACTCACACTCCCCAGCCTCAGTAGTAGGGCCTTGGTTTCTTACCTCGCATTCCCTATAGCGGCAGCTGGACCTCCCCACAGACCCTTATAGAGACACCTGGCCTTGTCCCAGACTCTTATGGAGGAGACTCCCTCCCCACCCCCCTCCGCACCGGGGGCGTTACAGGAGAGCCTGGCCCCTCCACAGGTCCCTATAGGCGAAGCTGGCCTCCTCCTAGGCTCCTCTAGATGAGCCTTGCCTCCCTGCCAGTCCTTTTAGGGGGAGCCTGGCCACTCCCTTATAGAGAAGTTTGGATTCTTTCCCGGCTCCTAGAGATGATCCTGGCCTCCCAGCCGGTCCTCAGTAGGGGAACTTACCTCCCTCCCAGGCTCCTGTAGAGGAGCTTGGCCTCCACACAGCACTTTATAAAGGATTCTGTTCCCCCACAGGCCCTTGTAGGAGGGCCGATCCTCATCTCTAACACTTATGGAGGGGCCTGGCCTCCCCACAGGATCCTATGGGGTAGTCCCACCTCTCCCCACGCCCTTACTAAGGAACCTAGCCTTCCCATATCTGAGCCTATATGTGAGCCTACCCCAAGCCCGCTCCCATCCTGACAGGAGACCTGCCTCACCCAGGCCTGGCGGCCATGCTCCGGCTCCCAGCTCTGCGTTCTGCGCTGAGTCCTTCCGTGCTTCACGTAGCCACCGCCCTGCTGACTGGAAGGGAGCGGGTGGGGGCGGTGTCAATCTCCCCCTCGCTTCCGCCCGCAGTACCCGTGGCTGCGGCTTGGTGGTGCCGCAGAGTATGGCCCTGGTGGAGGCCGTGAGGGCGCCCCGCAAGGCCCACACCAAGAGCAGGCCCGAGGTGCGGGGGGAAGGCGGGGATCGGCTCCGGGTGAGGCTCCTCCGGTCCTCGTCCGGGCTGCTTCCGCCGCCTGCCGGTTGTGGTGGGTCCGGCGAGCTTAGAGGGGCGGGGAGGAGCCTGCGGGGCTGGTACACGCCGGGGGGGGGTGTTCGTCAGCCCTTTGTCTCGTGTTTGCGCCTATTCCTGAGTGGGTTTAAAGCGGCGGAGAGGGTGTCAGCTCCAGGCCGTGCTTGTGTCCGTGTTTGTTTGTCTGCTGCTGGAAGCGGCGAGATCGGGGGGTGTGTGCCTATCTGAAAACACATGTCCCATCCCTGGCAGTGATCAAGGCCAGGCTGGACGGGGCTTAACACAACCTGGTCTAATGGAAGGTGTCCCTGCCCGGGTTTCAGTAGTTGTGGAATGATCTGAACTGAAATACCTTGCCTCACAGCCAGATCAAGTTGGAAATGTTTCTCTGAATTGCCTGACCTCTTTCATCTTGTACACTGCACCCCGGAGAGCAACGGCAGTGAAGTCCTGGTTGTCAAAGCCCTTTGAGAATAAGTCGGTGAATTAATTGACCACTGTTCGAGAAAACAAGGGTCAGAGCTAAGTGTCAGCTATGGCTGTGATTCCAGAACAAGTTTTATTTTGTGTCTGTGCTTCCATGATTTATTTGGTGGCAGGGCATGGCTGGAGCCACACATGAAGTCAAGCAGACTGTCGCCACACAGGGCAGGTTTTATCTTTCCTTAAACACGGACTTCGTTACCACCGTGCTCATTCCCCCTTAGGCCAACGCGACTGATCCTGGCTGCAGCAGTGAGGATGGTACTGCTGCAAAGGAAGTTTTTTTACATGTTCGGTGACAAATGTATCTTGCAAACTACTGTTTGAAGACAGAATCCTGAATCCCTGGGTACGTAGCTCTACTTCTACCTGAATCTCTTAAGCTTAATAATCCTCGCTGTGACACATTCTTCTGAGGTAGTGTATGATCTCTATTTCCCAAGTCCATGTACATGATTTGGGTGGTGGTGGGGTAGGTGTGCAAATACACGTTCCTGTATTGTCAACCCTATAACTCTGGGATCTGGCAGAGATTCCTCTGTCCTGGGGTACATGTTTAACACTTGAATTTCCCAGACTTTTCTAGGCCCTGGCCACCATTGAGGGGCTGTACTGCAATGATTCTATCACCTGAAAGGAGGTTATGAGGTGGGGGTCTGTCTCCTTGCCCAAGTACCACGTGATAGGACAAGAGGAAACGACCTCAAGCTGCACCAGGTGAGCTTTAGGCTGGGTATTGGGAACAATTTCTTCCCCGAGAGGGTTTTCAAGCAGTGGAACAGGCTGCCCAGGGCAGTGGTGGAGTCACCATCCCTGGAAGTGTTTAGAAGGTGTGCAGATGTTGCACTTCGAGACACGGTGTAGTGGTAGATTTAGCAGTGTAGGGTAAACGGTTGGACTCAATAATCTTAAAGGTCTTTTCCAGCCTAAATGATTCCACACTTCTAATCAGAGCATCTACAAGATGATGCTTTGGCCACCTTACATTGTGCCTTCATTTCCGTGTACACATGGCGGGCAGCATCCCTACCCCAAGGGCTGGCACTCTGCTTCCTGTGCTGAGTCCACTCTCTGCTGCAGCCACGTTTGTCTGCTGCCCTGAGCCTTGGTGAACGTCCCCAGCATGGCTCTTCTGTCGAAGCAGCTGGCTATTCATGGCTGTGGGTTTGAAACAGCTCCGGGTCTTGAATCCTGAGCTACACTTATCATATGTCTCTCTATGAGCTTACTGGGGTGCTGTTCTGCGGTATGGCCACTCAGTTTCAACAGGATGAGCCTGAGGGTTTTGTAGCATCAGTTTTTCTGTGCCCCAGCTTGACTGTGTGCTAACCCGGGGCAACTCTTTGCTTCAGGTTGCTGTGTGTTGAAAGCTGGCTGTATTCATAGGGGTGAGGGGCAGATGTGACTGTGCTTGCTTGAAGAACTTCTTGATTCCTGTTTTCTTACGCTGAAAGGTGACCCCCAGCATGACTGACGCTGACATAGCTAATGCTGCTTGGATGCCGTTTCAAAATTCCGGCTGCTTTTGTATTTTTCTGGAAACGGAGGTGTACAATGGGCTCGGTTTGATGTCAGCTACAGCAGGTGATTTGAGCAACAGTCTTTTCATGTATGTGTGTATGTGTGTATATATGTATGTATCTTTGTTTGTATCTCTCTCTCTATATATGAAACTTTCTTTTCTTTGCAGAGGTAGTGTGGGAGAAGGTCAGATCTAGCTGGCACAAACCCTTTGGGAAGAAGCAAAGAAAATGGAGGAATTCACGGAAGAGCAAAAACTGCATCGGAAGAAGGTCAGGATGTTGATCCATTACCAATTACCATCCTTGGTGATGGATTTTGGCTCCTGGCTCATTTCTCCCACCATGCCCCAGCCCCCTGCATGCTCCCAGTGCCTGTCGCTGCTGGGAAGTCCTGAGCTCCTTCCTATATGTTGAAGCCCTGCTGCTGAACCTCTGACTTCCTTCTTCTGACTGCCACATCTTCTCCTTTGGGTGCCTTTTGGGGCTGGCTATCGCAGGGCTCACCTCCAGAGACACCAGCCTCAACCAGGAATGTTCTTAAAGCATAGAGACATATATCTCATACATATAGTGTTGCGTGATGTCCATAGGGTTTGCTAAAATTGGCAAGTCTTTTAACCTCTTCTGGCTTGAGATTCCTTTGTCTGGAAAATGAGAGAAAACTGCTGCAAGTTTGGACGTAGCAGAAGGGAGCTGGCTTCCCAATTTTCCTAGATTCAATGGAGATGATACAGTACTATATAATGGTGGATTTCATTTGTAGAGTTCCATTGCATAGACAGGTGGAGGCTTAGCTAGAAGTATAAAAGGTGGGTTTTGTGAAGATGCTTGAGGTGGACATAGGTCCTTAAGGCCATCTGAACTTGGTCTGTGCCTCTTCCTTTCCTAAGTCACATAGTCCATCATGGAGCTTCGATGCTCAGTGATGTATGTCTCTCTTGTCTTCACAGATAGACCTGATAATGGAGGCGATTCAGAAAATCAGGAGTCTGCAGTACGAGAAGACCATGGTGGTAAAGCAAACATGCTGCTCTTTCTTGCTCTATGGTTTAACACTGCTACCATACGCGCACAGTGCTGGCACAGTCTTACATATGAGGGTCTTCCTCTGCTGCAACTCATGCAGACACTACATCAAGAGCTGCAGCAGAGGAAGACCGTCACATTTAAGTCTGCATAGTGTGTTCTGAAAAACTGGAGAGTACACCACGGACATGGCTAGTCACAGCCTTGCATGGTAGGTTAAGAGTGATTTAGATGTCACGGACTCGATTGCTATGAGCTTTTCATGCCAAATGAAGAGCAGCTTGTCTTGTGAGGTCAGTTTTGGTCAAGCAGCAGGGCACTGAGTGTCTTGTGTGCTGTCCCCTGCTCTGCGGGCAACCTTTGGTAACCTCTTCACTTGGAGGCTGTTTTGCTCCAGAGCTATGTGCATGAGCTGTAATAGTACCTCCTTGCTTGCTAACACGCTCCTGCCCTGTTTGTTGGCTCTCCTAGGCCAAGCGCCTTTATGAGCAGCACCGCAGGGATAAGGGTGAGGCGGAACAAGCTGTGCACCACAACACAATGTGGTTACACAGAAGCAGCAGGAGAAGGTATAGAGAGGCGGGTGGCCATGGGACAGGAAGGGTGTATGCTCTTTGGGCTCTCCTGCCCCATAACTCTTCTCCAGCTCTGGGTTTGGGGGTGAGATGGAAGGGCTGGCAATGTTCTCTAGCTGGCCTTCAATACCGCTGGTGATGCACGTTAGCTCTCCTGTAGCTTTCTTCTCTCTCCCAGTTTTGGCAGCTGTTCCTCAATCTAGCTCAGATGAAATCACCTCCGGAAGACTCTGGTGAGTGTGGCAACGCAGGGTTTGGAGGGTGAGGGGAGTGTTTGCTGGGGCAGGGGTTGTGAAGCCATGGCATGGCTCTTGAGCGAGCTCCAGCTCCTGGGTCAGGGCTGGCTCCTCAGAAACTCACGCCCAACATAGCAGGGATGGAGCTCACTCGAGAGCCATGCCATGGCTTCGCACCCCATTTCGTGTTTCTCACTGTTTCTCTGTGGCATGACCCTCCACCTTGCTGCACAGCTCTGTATTTCCTTGCGGTGCACATCCATAGCTGAGCTCACACATTACTGCTGCTTTCTCCCTGACATCCCTGCCGATTCAGGTTTTGTGTAGTGCCTTCTAGCAAAGGGTCTTTTTAATCCATGTTAATCAGATGACAGTGTGATTTGTTTCAAAGGCAGGAGTTACCAGCAGAGCGTTACAACACTGGAGAAGATCCGGGAAGAACGGCAAAGAGCACGTCAGAGCTTGTGAGGTAAAAGCCCCCAAACACCTTCACGTGGCAGTGTGGTCCTCTGGATGTCCACTCCTTGTTGTAGAAGTCCGGGATGGCACAGATCTGCCTTCTCTCTGTTGCCCTGGCAGTGAAGCAGCAGGACGTGTTGCAGCTAACCCTGTGTGTGCCTTAGGCGTGCCTTCTGCATTTAACGTCCCACCACTTCAAGGTTTCCACTATTTTTTTTTTTTTGTTTTTATTTTTCCTTCCACTACCTTTTCAAAGTAACAGAATCAAAGCAGTGACCTTTTTGCCCATTAACCTGCTTGCGCGTTTGGTGTGGCCATTATCCTGAGCTGCCGTGGTCACTTTCCGGGTACTCAGTGACTTAAGGCCAGTGTGTTTTACAGCCACGACACCACCTAGCAGACTCTGAAACTCTGATGGACTTTAAATGAATTTGCAGTAGAAGGCGCTGACACACTGGGGATGCAAGCTGGGTGAAGCCATCTCCATGTGAACCCAGTGTGCCAGCAGCCCTTCGCCATGTATCTCACGTGATAGCATGGGAACCCCTCTGAGCAGATGTATCAGTCTAAAGCAGACTGTGTCGTAGCAAAATGGTCTAGCCAGGACTTCCAGCAAGTGCCAGGGAAATCCAGAGCTGGTTGCAAGAGGACCGTGATGCTGCTCTGCTGCTGACCTGTGTCTTGCAGCTGTCTGTGATGTGTAACCAAGGGTTTAATGAGGTGATGCGGCTCCTCTACTCTGCTCTCGTGAGACCTCACTTGGAGTATTGCGTACAGTTCTGGTGTCCTCAATATGAGAAGGACGTGGAGCTGTTGGGGCTAGTCCAGAGGAGGGCCACAAGGATGACAAGGGGGCTGGAGTACCTCCCATATGAAGACAGGCTGAGAAAGTTGCGGCTGTTCAGCCTGGAGAGGATAAGGCTGCGTGGAGTCCTCCGAGCAGCTTCCAGTATCTGAAAGGGGCCTACGAGGATGCTGCGGATGGGACTCTTTGTTAGGGACTGTAGTGTCAGGACAAGGGGTAATGGCTTCAAACTTAAGCAGGGGAAGTTTACGTTAGATATAAGGAAGAAGTTCTTTACTGTGAAGCTGGCGAGGCACTGGAATGGGCTGCCCAAGGAAGCTGTGAACGCTCCATCCCTGGCAGCCTTCAAGGCCAGGTTGGACGCAGTCTTGGGTGGCATGGTTTAGTGCGAGGTGTCCCTGCCCATTGCAGGAGGGCTGGAACTAGATGATCTTAAGGTCCTTTCCAACCCTATTCTATGATTCTGTGATTCTATGGACAGGAAGTGCAGAGGTTGAGGTTTTATACCATGTCTGCTGCAAGCTGGCAAACAAGTGATAACAAGTGCATATGCGCACGTGGGATGAAAGGCTGCCTTCCAAGCTCATGAAATTGAGCTACACCAGACAGCACATATCAGAAGACTTGGGCTTAAAGCTACTTGGAAAAGGGATGGGCAGGAAAGAGAGAGAAGACAAACGAGTCAAGACGCTTTGCTTTCATAGATCCCCATGCTTTTTTATTGCTCCATAGTTGTGGGAGAGAAGTCAGCTGGGACTGCAGGACCATGGGGTACCTAGGAAACATGCAGTGCCTTTAGGAAGCTGGCTTCGTCTCCCCAGAGGTAGTGTTGTGCTGAGTGACCCCTTCCGCACGGGCCCTGCAGACCTTCCTGAACTTAACGCTCATCTTTGAAATACCTGGGTGTGTAAAGGGATGACTTCTTGTCTGGACGAGGTCTTTTCCAGCCTAGTTGGTTCTATGATTCTATGACTCATGGTTACCATGTTTCCTGCAGAAGACCAACATCACCTGCTCGTTGCTGTGGACAGAGATCTTTGTAGTGGGATGAGAAGAGATTAGAATAGAGATGTTAGGGCTGTTTTGTCTGTGTCGTTTCAGTTCTTTGAGACCCAGGAGTGCGAGCGGATCAACTATTTCCGCAATGCCCTCCAGCTTCATGTTAGCCCACCATGACGTGCCTTGGTATCAGGTCTCTGTAAAGCCCAGGCTGGCCTAACCTCTTGCCTTCCCACTAGGTCTGGGAGGGCAGTTGGGGAGCACAGAGCCAGGGCACTGGGAGTCCTGGAGCCACGCAGATCCTCAGCTCTGACTTTTCTAGTGTGCAGGAAGGCACCTCTACCCACCCTGACCAGTGCACCAGAATTACTTGCTTTATGGGGTTTCTGGCTCCACAGAACTCTGCTTTTGCTCTTCCCCATCAGATTGTGAGCTTTAGCTGTCTAAAAAAAATGGTTTAGGTGAAGTCCGCCCCCCCCGAAAGATCCTGGGAAGCTGGACTCTGACTTTGGAGACAAGGTTTCACTAAGGAGAAGTTCTGATCAAAGCCCTGTATGTAGGCATTTGTGGAGCTTAAGGATGTCCAAGCTTGGGATCCCACCACTCTCTGCAGTTTGGGCCTTTCCCTCATTCAGCACCATGAGCTATATAATTCCCAGAGGCACTTTGGTGATGGAACTTGGTAAAATGCCTTGGTTGTTCAGCAAATCATAGAATCATAGAATCAAGACATCTCTTTCAGCCTCATCCACCATTGCCTTCCATCCCTTTGACACAGGTGGCCAGCGTTTCTGTCCTGTGTAGTCTTGTAACGAGCACTTCTCATAAGCAGACCTCATTTTTTTTTGTGCTCTCTGTTCCAGGTGAGCCTGATTATGCCACAGTTGATGGCTACATCACTAGATGCTGTTGATCCTGTTTGTAGGTTCTCCAGGCAGAAGACACTGTTGGTCTGGCCAGTGTGGTGGTGTTTCCAGTTACTCCCAGCTGTGAGAGAAACAGTGTTGTTTTCGCATATTTGGGGATGGGGCTTTACAATATTAAGACTTTCCAATCTTAGAGCTTTAAGATCAATAGTAAAACTTTGCAAAAATAATAAGAGTTTTCAATACTAGGTCTGGGATTAAGTTCCTAAGGCAATGAAGGAAAGGGTTTGAGATCTACTTATTCAAATAGACACGCTTTGTGCTTAAAGACAGTGTCATCTCTAGATGAAAGACACACTCTGTGGTTAAAAAGAATACTATCTACGTATAACCTAGGAAACTAAACCGGTGCAGGCTGGTTAAGCAGTAAGTTGAGGTAACTTATTTATACCCAGAGTATTATCTCCAACCATACTGGGAATCACCTTGTCCTGGGTGATGTTTGGTTTACAACTGGCTTTAATGGGTGGATCTCACCCAGCGCTTAGAGAAAATCTCTACAAAGTAAAATTATGATATGTAAAGGTCACATAGAATCTGAATGTGGGGCGTTAAGAGTGTGGTCCCGTGCCCTTGCTATTGCAAGTGCTGGAGGGGCAATAAGGCAAGTTCATGGCTGGGGGGCAGATGTGACAGGAGGGGATTCAATTGCTAGATTTAGAATAGGGGTTTGGGAGCCAAAGGGGAACGAATGCGACCAGCCTGTGGACATCCACCATTCCTCCACCGGTGGGCACACGCACTCCACCAAATAGTCCTAAGATAGTAAATATAATTGCTATTAAAGATTTGAAGTAGATGTTTGAAATAGAAACAGGATATAGAAATAGAAATGTCTGGGTAGAACGGGTCAAATATCCAGGGAAAATAGAATCGTTTTAGATATTTTTGCTGAAAAGGGAGGAGTATGCATAATGCTAGGGAATACGTGTTGCACATTTATTCCAAATAATAGAACACCAGATGGAGCCATAACCAGGGCCTTACAAGGCCTCACTATGTTGGCAGAAGAATTGGCTGAAAATATGAGAACAGGTATTTCATTAGCAGGATGGTTAGAATCCTGATTTGGAAAATGGAGAGGAATGGTGATATCAGCTTTTACTTCTGTAATTATAGTAGCAGGTGTATGAATAGCTATATGGTGCTACATAATTCCATATATAGGAAGACGTGTGCAACTTCTTGAAACAAATTTGTTGAAATAACTTTGTCAAAACAAATGCTCATGGGACCACCACCCTACTCTAATGACATGCTTTCGATTAAAAAAAAAAATAAAGATGATTGGGGCGACTTATCTTTAGATCAAAACCACGAAATTACGTTATCCAGACTGGAAGCGACATATGGGGCAATTCTTTAAGGAAAGTGCAAAAACCAAAACCAGTATAATAAGAGAAAGGGGGAGTTGTGAGAGAAGCAGTGTTGTTTTCGCATAACTGGAGATGGGGCTTTGCAGTATTAAGGCTTTCCAATATTAGAGCTTCAAGACCAATATTAAGGCTTTGCAATATTAAGAGTTTTCAATACTGGGGCTGGGGCTAAGTTACTAAAGGAACGAAAGAAAGTGTTTGAGATGTAGTAACTCAAAAAAAAAGACACTCTGTGGTTAAAGCCAATGTCATCTCTCGATGAAAGATACACTCCTTGGTTAAAAAGAATACTGTCTATGTACAAACTAAGCTGGTGCAGGCTGGTTAAACAGTAAGTTGGGGTACGACATGCCTGCCAAAGAGTTACAAAATTGAACTGGAAAAGGATTATGTGGGTAATAATGATGTGGTTAATAAATAAGAGGAAGGGGCATAGAACATCCAGTAAGGGGAGGTATAAACAGAGGCGGGACAGTTAGCACACAGATTATAAGCACTGAATAGGCTGTAAACCTTGGAGTACCCAACCAATGGGGAAACAAGGGAGGGAACCGGTGTACAGGACAGGAAATAGAAATCATAGTTCTGCTTTTGCTGTGTGTGCCTACTTGCTAGCACACCCGCTTTTTTGCAAAAACATTAATAAAGACCTGCTTCGCTGTTGTGTCTACCCTGAGCTTATGTTTTTACCTAGAGACCATTTCTCACAGCAGCCACACAGAGCTGAAGTGCTTCTCTGTTTCAGCAAAGTATTTGCGGTCTCAGATATTTATCTGCACACTCCGAAAGTGCCTACTACAAATCTGTGCCTGTGATCAGCAAACTGCTTGGACAGATATCCCATCTTCACACTCGGGGGAAGAAAAGGAATCTAAGCGATGGATCCAGTGCAGGGGCCATCTGTGTCAGAAGAGGTTTTTGATTTGAAATTCTTCTGAAGTGCAGCCATCTGAAAGAGGCTGGAGATAACCAAGAAGTCATATGTGCTGAGTGAGGGGAGTGTGCACAATGTTTTGGGACACTGGCTGATGTTTAGGGCATATATATCTCACTCAGATCTCAGGTTAAGCTTTTCCCTGTTTCTCAAGTCCATCATTAATGGTGATTAAGCTTGTAATTTAGGTTTAATTTTGGCCACGTCTTTCAGGGAGCTCACTTAGAGGGGCACCAACAATACGCTACGCGTCTGGCTTAGCTGTAGATGTGCTTTAGTTTTAAGTGCTGATACTGGAAGCTGCTTTGCATCTTGCCTGGTGTAGCAGTCCACAGCGCAGCTACCCAGTGAGAGGCTGTGCTGCCACAAACCTGCACCCTGCAGTGTTGCTGAGGATCTGGAGAAGTTGGTCAGCTCTTCAACCACCTCTCCAAGGAGGGGCTTGCAGACTTTTAGGTTCACGGTATAGCTTGTGCCTGGTAGGCTCTGCAGACCCTCATTTGATTAACTTCTGGTAAAGAAGTCCCTTGGACTTGTTGTGACTATGTACCACTGGAAAAAAACTTAGTTGTTAATGTTGGGCTGGAGCCCTGAAACTCATTTTCTGACCATATCTCCCAAAGTTCTTGCTTTTTTTGTTACCATATACGTGATCATGGCTTTGATTCAGAAACTCATGTGCTGCAGGGCTGCTGGTCTCTCTCATATCCTCATGTGCAGCATTTCTTAAGAAGCTCCCCAGTGCCTTATGGCACAGGGATGGAGGATAAGGGGACCAGCACACAGTTCAGCTGTTTAAACCCGGTGCCAGGTGCCTTAACTTTGGAGCAACGGGAGTTGCTGATGTATGATATTCTTCAAGTTGAATCTGCGTGACTTCAGTGCATGTCTAAGCCAAACAGTCCCCGGAGCTTTTACTGTATTTCCTTCGGCGGAGAAGATGGCAGTGAGCTTAAACATCTCCCCTAACGCATTACAACGGACTGTGCAAAGTGCACATGCGAAGGAATCGGCTGTCCATTTTTATTTCTGAAAGACCAAGCGTAGAAATAGTCTGCTGAAGGACCCTGCTGTAGTCTTAGTTCTTACATACATCTTCTATGATAAAGTTTTGAGACTTGCGTGGTGGCTATCTTTCTTCTGAAAGATGTCATACTCACTTTTTTTATCTAGGCTAGGGTGGGTACACCTTCAAAGCACCCTAGGATGTTCAGGTTCCTTCTCCTGGGAGGAAGCCTACAAGAGCATATCCTTGCTCAGCCTTTATTTCCTACTTGCTCAATACCACGACAGCTCTGGGACAGAACACACCAAGACTTTAGCCTCCCCCTGCTCCCCTAGAGTCAGGCTGAGTTTCCTCACAGGCCTCTCTAGAGGGGTTTGTCCTCCTCCCAGACACCCACAGAAGTGAAGGGCCTAACAAGAGAGCCTGATAACCAGCTGCACAGCTCCTGCCTTCCCCCCTAGGGACAGAGAGGCCACAGCTGCTTTAGTAAGACAAAATAAGCAGAGGGATACAGGTAGCATGGAAGTCTTATGTCCCTTCAGATGCTGGGCATCCTGCCTTCAGGCAGAGTTAGAGCTCTTCCTTTTTGGTCCTATGAGCTAATACAAAAAGCATCACAAGAAAACAGCATTAGTTATGAAGGAAGTTCACAGGAGCACTTCTTGCTGCGTTTCCAGATACAGGCAGGGCCAGGCAGCTGGTGTGTCAGTATCAGGCAGGAGCTGCCCATAAACCCCGTTAGCAGGCCTTGGGCAGTGCAGACCAGCCCTGTGCCTGCTCAGGGGATCACCACCTCCGTAATGTGCAATGGGCTCCTGGTCAGGATCATCTCTGCCTTGACCCACACGCAATTTACCTTTCCCACAGGTATTATAAATGACACATGATGTTGATAACAAAGGGTCTTCTCAAGGCCAAGTACAAGGCCTAAGAGAGTGGACATTACCTGTTCAAGATCATTAGGTCTTTGACTACAATGTCTTCTGCAAGGAGGGACTGAGCTCTGCAGGGACTCCTCCATCTGGGGACTGGCTGCAATCACTTCTGCTCCAGTGGGGCATGGCCTCGGCTCCAGCGGTGGCTCCCTGGGGCAGCTGAGCACCTGAGTAGGGATCAAAAGGGTCAGTGACGCCTGGTCCCCCAGGCTGAGACTGGAGCCCCGCTGCGGCTGGAGATGCCTCAGGCACTGCAGACAGGCTGCCCCGCTCCGGTGGCACTTCCGGGTCCTGCTACGGCACAAGTAGAAAGAAGAGAACTCACACTCCCCAGCCTCAGTAGTAGGGCCTTGGTTTCTTACCTCGCATTCCCTATAGCGGCAGCTGGACCTCCCCACAGACCCTTATAGAGACACCTGGCCTTGTCCCAGACTCTTATGGAGGAGACTCCCTCCCCACCCCCCTCCGCACCGGGGGCGTTACAGGAGAGCCTGGCCCCTCCACAGGTCCCTATAGGCGAAGCTGGCCTCCTCCTAGGCTCCTCTAGATGAGCCTTGCCTCCCTGCCAGTCCTTTTAGGGGGAGCCTGGCCACTCCCTTATAGAGAAGTTTGGATTCTTTCCCGGCTCCTAGAGATGATCCTGGCCTCCCAGCCGGTCCTCAGTAGGGGAACTTACCTCCCTCCCAGGCTCCTGTAGAGGAGCTTGGCCTCCACACAGCACTTTATAAAGGATTCTGTTCCCCCACAGGCCCTTGTAGGAGGGCCGATCCTCATCTCTAACACTTATGGAGGGGCCTGGCCTCCCCACAGGATCCTATGGGGTAGTCCCACCTCTCCCCACGCCCTTACTAAGGAACCTAGCCTTCCCATATCTGAGCCTATATGTGAGCCTACCCCAAGCCCGCTCCCATCCTGACAAGAGACCTGCCTCACCCAGGCCTGGCGGCCATGCTCCGGCTCCCAGCTCTGCGTTCTGCGCTGAGTCCTTCCGTGCTTCACGTAGCCACCGCCCTGCTGACTGGAAGGGAGCGGGTGGGGGCGGTGTCAATCTCCCCCTCGCTTCCGCCCGCAGTACCCGTGGCTGCGGCTTGGTGGTGCCGCAGAGTATGGCCCTGGTGGAGGCCGTGAGGGCGCCCCGCAAGGCCCACACCAAGAGCAGGCCCGAGGTGCGGGGGGAAGGCGGGGATCGGCTCCGGGTGAGGCTCCTCCGGTCCTCGTCCGGGCTGCTTCCGCCGCCTGCCGGTTGTGGTGGGTCCGGCGAGCTTAGAGGGGCGGGGAGGAGCCTGCGGGGCTGGTACACGCCGGGGGGGGGTGTTCGTCAGCCCTTTGTCTCGTGTTTGCGCCTATTCCTGAGTGGGTTTAAAGCGGCGGAGAGGGTGTCAGCTCCAGGCCGTGCTTGTGTCCGTGTTTGTTTGTCTGCTGCTGGAAGCGGCGAGATCGGGGGGTGTGTGCCTATCTGAAAACACATGTCCCATCCCTGGCAGTGATCAAGGCCAGGCTGGACGGGGCTTAACACAACCTGGTCTAATGGAAGGTGTCCCTGCCCGGGTTTCAGTAGTTGTGGAATGATCTGAACTGAAATACTTTGCCTCACAGCCTGATCAACTTGGGAATGTTTCTCTGAATTGCCTAACCTCTTTCATGTTGTACACTGCACCCTGGAGAGCAACGGCAGTGAAGTCCTGGTTGTCAAAGCCCTTTGAGAATAAATGCAATGCATGTTTAACACTTGAATTTTGATTCCACACTTCTAATCACAGCATCTACAAGATGATGCTTTGGCTACATTACATTGTGCCTTCATTTCCATGTGCACATGGCGGGCAGCATCCCTACCCTGAGGGCTGGCACTCTGCTCTCGTGTGCTGCGTGCAATCTCTGCCGCAGCCATATTTGTCTGCTGCCCTGAGCCTTGGTGAACCTCCCTAGCATGGCTCTGCTGTCGAAGCAGCTAGCTATTCATGGCTGTGGGTTTGAAACAGCTCCGGGTCTTGAATCCTGAGCTACACTTATGTCTCTCGATGAGCTTACTGGGGTGCTGTTCTGCAATATAGCCACTCACTTTCAACAGGATGAAGCTGCGGTTTTTTTAGCATCAGTTTTTCTGTGCCCCAGCTTGACTGTGTGCTAACCCGGGGCAACTCTTTGCTTCAGGTTGCTGTGTGTTGAAAGCTGGCTGTATTCATTGGGATAAGGGCAGATGTGACTGTGCTTGCTTGAAGAACATCCTGATTCCAGTTTTCTTACGCTGAAAGGTGACCCCCAGCATGACTGACGCTGACATAGCTAATGCTGCATGGATGCCGTTTCAAAATTCCTGCTGCTTTTATATTGTTCTGGAAATGGAGGTGTACTATGGGCTCAGTTTGATGTCGGCTACAGCAGGTGATTTGAGCAACAGTCTTCTAATGTATGTGTGTATGTGTGTATACATATATATATATGTATATTTGTGTGTATCTATGTATATATATGAAACTTTCTTTTCTTTGCAGAGGTAGTGTGGGAGAAGGTCAGATCTAGCTGGCACAAACCCTTTGGGAAGAAGCAAAGAAAATGGAGGAATTCACGGAAGAGCAAAAACTGCATCGGAAGAAGGTCAGGATGTTGATCCACTACCAATTACCATCCTTGGTGATGGATTTTGGCTCCTGGCTCGTTTCTCCCACCATGCCCCAGCCCCCTGCATGCTCCCAGTGCCTGTCGCTGCTGGGAAGTCCTGAGCTCCTTCCTATATGTTGAAGCCCTGCTGCTGAACCTCTGACTTCCTTCTTCTGACTGCCACATCTTCTCCTTTGGGTGCCTTTTGGGGCTGGCTATCGCAGGGCTCACCTCCAGAGACACCAGCCTCAACCAGGAATGTTCTTAAAGCATAGAGACATATATCTCATACATTATAGTGTTGCGTGATGTCCATAGGGTTTGCTAAAATTGGCAAGTCTTTTAACCTCTTCTGGCTTGAGATTCCTTTGTCTGGAAAATGAGAGAAAACTGCTGCAAGTTTGGACGTAGCAGAAGGGAGCTGGCTTCCCAATTTTCCTAGATTCAATGGAGATGATACAGTACTATATAATGGTGGATTTCATTTGTAGAGTTCCATTGCATAGACAGGTGGAGGCTTAGCTAGAAGTATAAAAGGTGGGTTTTGTGAAGATGCTTGAGGTGGACATAGGTCCTTAAGGCCATCTGAATTTGGTCTGTGCCTCTTCCTTTCCTAAGCCACATAGTCCATCGTGAAGCTTCGATGCTCAGTGATGTGTTGACTCTCTTGTCATCACAGATAGACCTGATAATGGAGGCGATTCAGAAAATCAGGAGTCTGCAGTACGAGAAGACCATGGTGGTAAAGCAAACATGCTGCTCTTTCTTGCTATATGGTTTAACACTGCTACCATACGCGCACAGTGCTGGCACAGTCTTACATATGAGGGTCTTCCTCTACTGCAACTCATGCAGACACTACATCAAGAGCTGCAGCAGAGGAAGACCATCACATTTAAGTCTGCATAGTGTGTTCTGAAAAACTGAAGAGTACACCACGGACACGGCTAGTCACAGCCTTGATGGTAGGTTAAGAGTGATTTAGACGTCAGAGACTCGATTGCTATGAGCTTTTCATGCCAAATGAAGAGCAGCTTGTCTTGTGTGGTCAGTTTTTCCCAAGCAGCAGGGCACTGAGTGCCTTGTGTTCTGTCCCCTGCTCTGTGGGCAGCCTGTGTCCACATCTTCAATTGGAGGCTCTATTTTCTTCCAGAGCTACCTGCATGAGCTGTAAGAGTAACTCACTGCTTACTAACACGCTCCTGCCCTGTTTGTTGTCTCTCCTAGGCCTACCGCTTTTATGAGCATCTCTGGATGGAGAAGGATGAGGCATAAGAAGCTGTACAACACAACACAAACGTGATTACACAGAAGCAGCAGGAGAAGGTATAGAGAGGTGGGTGGCCATGGGACAGGAAGGGTGTATGTTCTTGGATCTCTCCTGCCCCATAACTCTTTTCCCAGCTCTGGGTTTGGGGGTGAGATGGAAGGGCTGGCAATGTTCTCTAATTGGTCTTCGATACTACTGGTGATGCACATCGTTTCTCCTGTAGCTTTCTTCTCTCTCCCAGTTTTGGCAGCTGTTCCTCAATCTGGCTCAGATGAAATCACCTCCGGAAGACTCTGGTGAGTGTGGCAATGCAGGGTTTGGAGGGTGAGCTGAGTGTTTGCTGGGGCAGGGGTTGTGAAGCCATGGCATGGCTCTTGAGTGAGCTCCAGCTCCTGGGTCAGGGCTGGCTCCTCAGAAACTCATGCCCCACATACCAGATGTGGATAAGCCTGTGTAGCCCTACCAAGGGTGTTCCTGCCATTTCCCTGTTGCATGACATTCCACCTGTCTGGACAGCTCTGCATTTGTTTGCAGTGCACATCCATAGCTGAGCTCACACATTACTGCTGCTTTCTCCTTGATGTCCCTGCCAATTCAGCTTTCATGTACTGCCTTCTAGCAAGGGGTCTTTTTAAGTAATCAGATAAGAGTGTGATTTGTCTCAAAGGCAGGAGTTCCAGGCAGAGCGTTACCACACTATAGAAGATCCAGGTATAATCGCAGAAAGAACACATCAAAGCTTGTGAGGTAAAAGCCCCCAAACACCTTCATGTGGCAGTGTAGTCCTCCGGATGTCAAATCCTCACTGCAGGGGTCCGGGATGGCACAGATCTGCCTTCTCTCTGTTGCCCTGGCAGTGAAGCAGAAGGACGTGTTGCAGCTAAACCTTTAAGTTTCTTACACTTGCCTTCTGCATTTAGGGACCCACCACTTCATGGTTTCCACTATTTTTTTTTGTTTTTCATTTTTCCTTCGAGTACATTTTCAAAGTAACTGCCTTCTAGAAAAGGGTCTTTTTAATCCATGTTAGTTAGATGAGAGTGTGATATGTCTCAAAGGCAGGAGTTACCAGCAGAGTGTTACAACACTTGAGAAGATCCGGGAAGAACGGCAAAGAGCACGTCAGAGCTTGTGAGGTGAAAGCCCCCACACACCTTCATGTGGCAGTGTGGTCCTCTGGATGTCCACTCCTTGCTGTAGAAGTCCGGGATGGCACAGATCTGCCTTCTCTCTGTTGCCCTGGCAGTGAAGCAGCAGGACGTGTTGCAGCTAACACTGTGTGTGCCTTAGGCGTGCCTTCTGCATTTAACGTCCCACCACTTCAAGGTTTCCACTATTTTTTTTTGTTTGTTTTTATTTTTCCTTCCACTACCTTTTCAAAGTAACAGAATCAAAGCAGTGACCTTTTCGCCCATTAACCTGCTTGCGCGTTTGGTGTGGCCATTATCCTGAACAGCCGTGGTCACTTTCTGGGTACTCAGTGACTTAAGGCCAGTGTGTTTTACAGCCACGACACCACCTAGCAGACTTTGAAACTCTGATGGACTTTAAATGAATTTGCAGTAGAAGGCGCTGACACACTGGGGATGCAAGCTGGGTGAAGCCATCTCCATGTGAACCCAGCATGCCAGCAGCCCTTCACCATATATATCACGTGGTAGCATGGGAACCCCTCTGAGCGATGTATCAGTCTAAAGCAGACTGTGTCGTAGCAAAATGGTCTAGCCAGGACTTCCAGCAAGTGCCAGGGAAATCCAGAGCTGGTTGCAAGAGGACCGTGATGCTGCTCTGCTGCTGACCTGTGTCTTGCAGCTGTCTGTGATGTGTAACCAAGGGTTTAATGAGGTGATGCGGCTCCTCTACTCTGCTCTCGTGAGACCTCACTTGGAGTATTGCGTACAGTTCTGGTGTCCTCATTATGAAAAGGCCGTGGAGCTGTTGGGGCTAGTCCAGGGGAGGGCCACGAGGATGACAAGGGGGCTGGAACACCTCCCACATGAAGAAAGGCTGAGGAAGTTGTGGCTGTTCACCCTGGAGAAGAGAAGCCTGTGTGGAGAAATCCTAGCAGCTTCCAGTATCTGAAAGATGCGTACAAGGATGCTGGGGAGGGGACTCTTTGTTAGGGACTGTAGTGTCAGGACAAGGGGTAATGGCTTCAAACTTAAAAAGGGAAGTTTAGGTTAGATATAAGTAAGAAGTTCTCTACTGTGAAGGTGGTGAGGCCCTAGAATGGGTTACCCAAGGAAGTTGTGAATGCGCCATCCCTGGCACTCATCAAAGCCAGGTTGGACACAGTCTTGGGTGGCATGGTTTAGTGCGAGGTGTCCCTGCCCATGGCAGGAGGGCTGGAACTAGATGATCTTAAGGTCCTTTCCAATCCTATTCTATGATTCTGTGATTCTATGGACAGGAAGTGCAGAGGTTGAGGTTTTATACCATGTCTGCTGCAAGCTCGAAAACAGCAAGTGATAACAAGTGCATATGCGCATGTGGGATGAAAGGCTGTCTTTCAGGGAAATGTGTAAAGGCTCATGAAATTTAGCTATACCAGGCAGCACATTTCAAAAGACTTCGTCTTAAAGCTACTTGGAAAAGGGATGGGCGGGAAAGAGAAGACAAACGATTCAAGGCACTTTGCTCTCATAGATCCCCATGCTTTTTTATTGCTCCATAGTTGTGGGAGAGAAGTCAGCTGGGACTGCAGGACCATGGGGTACCTAGGAAACATGCAGTGCCTTTAGGAAGCTAGCTTCGTCTCCCCAGAGGTAGTGGTGTGCTGAGTGACCTCCTCCACATCGGTCCTGCAGACCCTCCTGAACTTAACGCTCATCTTTGAAATTCCTGTGTAAAGGGATGACTTCTTGTCTGGACGAGGTCTTTTCCAACCTAGTTGGTTCTATGATTCTATGACTCATGGTTACTTTGTTTCCTGCAGAAGACCAACATCACCTGCTCGTTGCTGTGGACAGAGATCTTTGTAGTGGCATGAGAGGAGATCAGAATAGAGGAGATTTGCTCTCTTCTTACAGATGTTAGGGCTGTTTTGTCTGTGTCGTTTCAGTTCTTTGAGACCCAGGAGTGCGAGAGGATCAACTATTTCCGCAATGCCCTCCGGCTTCATATTAGCCCACCATGACGTGACTTGGTATCAGGTCTCTGTAAAGCCCAGGCTGGCCTAACCTCTTGCCTTCCCACTAGGTCTGGGAGGGCAGCTGGGGAGCACAGAGCCAGGGCACTGGGAGTCCCGGAGCCACGCAGATCCTCAGCTCTGTCTTTTCTAATGTGCAGGAAGGCACTTCTACCCACCCCGACCATTGCACCAGAATTACTTGCTTTATGGGGTTTCTGGCTCCACAGAAGAACTCTGCTTTTGCTCTTCCCCATCAGATCATGAGCTTAAGGATGTCCAAGCTTGGGTTCCCACCACTCTCTGTAGTTTGGGCCTTTCCCTCATTCAGCACCATGAGCTATATAATTCCCAGAGGCACTTTGGTGATGGAACTTGGTAAAATGACTTGGTTGTTCGGCAAATCATAGAATCATAGAATCAAGACATCTCTTTCAGCCTCATCCACCATTGCCTTCCATCCCTTTGACACAGGTGGCCAGTGTTTCTGTCCTGTGTAGAGTCTTGTAACGAGCACTTCTCATAAGCAGACCAAATTGTTTTTGTGCTGTTTCAGGTGAGCCTGATTATGCCACAGTTGACAGGTACATCACTAGATGCTGTTGATCCTGTTTGTAGGTTCTCCAGGCAGAAGACACTGTTGGTCTGGCCAGTGTGGTGGTGTTTCCAGTTACTCCCAGCTGTGAGAGAAACAATGTTTTTGCATAATTGGGGATGGGGCTTTACAATATTAAGACTTTCCAATCTTAAGAGCTTTAAGATCAATATTAAGGCTTTGCAATAGTAAGAGTTTTCAATACTAGGTCTGGGTTTAAGTTCCTAAGGGAATGAAACAAAGGGTTTGAGATACAGTGAATCAGAAATACATGCTCTGTAGTTTAAGACAGTGTCATCTCTAGATGATACTCAGAGTATTTTCTCCAACCATACTGGGAATCACCTTGTCCTGGGTGGAGTGATGTTTAGTTTACAACTGTCTTTAATGAGTGGATCTTACAGAGTGCTTAGGGAAAATCTCTAAAAAGTAGAATTACAGTGTTTAAAGGTCACATGGAACCTGACTGTGGGAGTTTAGAGAGTGGTCCCGTAGCACTTGTTACTGCAAGTGCTGGTGGGGAAGTAAGCCAAGTTCATGGCCTGGGGCAGATGTGACAGAAGGGACTCAATTGCTAGATTTAGAATAATGGTTTGGGAGCCAAAGAGGAATGAATGTGGCCAGCCTGTGGACACTACCATTCCTCCATCAGTGGGGACATGGACTCCACCATAGAATCTTAAGATAGTGAATGTAATTGCAATTAAAGATTTGAAGTAGATGTTTGAAATAGAAACAGGATACAGAAATGCAAATGCCTGGGTTGAACGGGTGAAATATATAGTGAGAAGTTTAAATAGAAGCAATTGTTATGCATGTGCTTGAGAATGACTGTGCTTCAGTACAGGTAGTCCATTTTCTATTAGAATGGACTTGAGACTGACAAGGAATGATGTACATAAATGCACTGTACCAGGAGAATGCTCCCTGGCAAAACAAACCTTTAAGTCCTTATTCACTCATATTCCCTGCTCTGCGGGACAGGGACATCAGGATGCCTCCTGATGTTTCTCCACAGCCTGACAGGCTGTGAATGCTACCAGGAGAATTCTAGGAGAGTTAAAAACACATGCAGGTGTGACTAAGGATAATGCAGGAAACAACTCAGCTGTAAAAATCTGCAGAGCAGATTTAGGCTAGTACTGTGGGAAAAAAAATCCTAAGTTCTACACTTCCTCCAAACTGGAGGGGATCCTGCGAAACTGTTCAACTGGCAATTCCATTTAACCTGGCATTTGAGAGGGAAATGAACTCCTCAAGGCACAAAGAGAAGTATTTTAGGAACAGCCTTTCAGGATAGAATCTCTGTTGATTCAATCAGAGTTCCTTGAGGAGTTCCTGACGACCACAAAGCTAGGAACGAAGTAGCAACAGGGTCTGAATTTTTTTTTTGTGTGTTTTGGTAGGTTACAATCAATTAAATATAGATTGGATAAATTGTATTTATTCTAATCAGGAGCAGTTTATAAATCATGCCAGGGACGCAATAAAAGGAACTGCAAAACAATTAGATACTACGAGCAGGATGACATAAGAAAAAAGTATAGGTTTAAATATATTACGTGAAAAAGGAGGAGTATGGAAAATGCTAGGGAATGGGTGTTGCACATTTATTCCAAGTAAAACAACACCAGATGGAACCATAACCAGAGCCTTGCAAGACCTCACTACGTTGGCAGAAGAACTGGCTGAAAATTCGAGAATAGATATTTCATTAATAGGATGGTTAGAATCCTGGTTTGGAAAATGGAGAGGAATGGTGGTATCAGTTTTTACTTCTGTAATTGTACTAGTAGGTGTATTAGTAGCTATAAGCTGCTACATAATTCCGTACATAGGAAGACTTGTACAACTTCTTCTTGAAACAACACTGTCAAAACAAATGCTCATGGGACCACAACCATACTCTAATGAAATGCTTTAAATTAAACAATTTAAAAAAAAAAAAGTGTGAAGATGATTGGGATGACTTATCTTTAGGCAAAAAATGTGAAACTAAGTTCTCCAGACTGGAAGAGACATATGGGGCAATTCTTTCAGGAAAGTGCAAAAACCAAAACCAGTATAAATAAGATAAAATAAAAAAAATAAAAAGAAAAGGGAAACTGGGATGGGGCTTTGCAATATTAAGGCTTTCCAATATTAGAGCTTTAAGATCAATATTATGGCTTTACAATATTAAGAGTTTTCAACACTGGGGTTAAGTTACTAAGGGAATGAAACAAAGGGTTTGAGATCTAGTAACTCAAAAAGACACAGTCTGTGGTTAAAGGCAATGTCATCTCTAGATGAAAGATACATTCCATGGTTAAAAAGAATACATGTACACACTAAGCTGGTGCAGGCTGGTTAAACAGTAAGTTGGGGTACCATATGTCTGCCAAAGAGTTATGAAATTGAACTGGAAAAGGATTATGTGGGTAATAATGATGTGGTTAATATAGAAAAGGAAGGGGTGTACAATGTCCAGTAAGGGGAGGTATAAACAGAGGCGAGACAGTTATCACATAGATTATAAGCACTGAATAGGCTGTAAACCTTGGAGTACCCAACCAGTGGGGAAACAAGGGAGGGAACTTGTGGACGGGGTAGGAAATAGAAATCATAGTTCTGCTGTTGCTGTGTGTGCCTACGTGCTAGGACACCCGCTTTTTGCAAAAACATTAATAAAGAGCTGCTTCGCCGTTGTGTCTACCCTGAGCTTATGTTTTTACTAGAGACCATTTCTCACAGCAGCCACACAGAGCTGAAGTGCCTCTCTGTTTCAGCGAAGTATTTGAGGTCTCAGATAATTATCTGCACACTCAGAAAGTGCCTACTACAAATCTGTGCCTGTGATCAGCAAACTGCTTGGACAGATATCCCATCTTCACACTCGGGGGAAGAAAAGGAATCTAAGCGATGGATCCAGTGCAGGGGCCATCTGTGTCAGAAGAGGTTTTTGATTTGAAATTCTTCTAAAGTGCAGCCATCTGAAAGAGGCTGGAGATAACCAAGAAGTCATACGTGCTGAGTGAGGGGAGTGTGCACAATGTTTTGGGACACTGGCTAATGTTTAGGGCATATATATCTCACTCAGATCTCAGGTTAAGCTTTTCCCTGTTGCTCAAGTCCTTCATTAATGGTGATTAAGCTTGTAATTTAGGTTTAATTTTGGCCACGTCTTTCAGGGAGCTCACTTAGAGGGGCACCAACAATACGCTACGCGTCTGGCTTAGCTGTAGATGTGCTTTAGTTTTAAGTGCTGATACTGGAAGCTGCTTTGCATCTTGCCTGGTGTAGCAGTCCACAGCGCAGCTACCCAGTGAGAGGCTGTGCTGCCACAAACCTGCACCCTGCAGTGTTGCTGAGGATCTGGAGAAGTTGGTCAGCTCTTCAACCACCTCTCCAAGGAGGGGCTTGCAGACTTCTAGGTTCACGGTATAGCTTGTGCCTGGTAGGCTCTGCAGACCCTCATTTGATTAACTTCTGGTAAAGAAGTCCCTTGGACTTGTTGTGACTATGTACCACTGGAAATAAACTTAGTTGTTAATGTTGGGCTGGAGCCCTGAAACTCATTTTCTGACCATATCTCCCAAAGTTCTTGCTTTTTTTGGGCTTTGATTCAGAAACTCATGTGCTGCAGGGCTGCTGGTCTCTCTCATATCCTCATGTGCAGCATTGCTTAAGAAGCTCCTCAGTGCCTTACGGCACAGGGATGGAGGATAAGGGGACCAGCACACAGTTCAGCTATTTAAACCTGGTGCCAGGTGACTAACTTTAGAGCAACGGGAGTTGCTGATTTATGCATTCTTCAAGTTGAATCTGCGTGACTTCAGTGCATGTCTATGCCAAACAGTCCCCGGAGCTTTTACTGTATTTCCTTCGGCGGAGAAGATGGCAGTGAGCTTAAACATCTCTCCTGATGCATTACAATGGACTGTGCAAAGTGCACATGCGAAGGAATCTGCTGTCCATTTTCATTTCTGAAAGACCTAGTGTGCAGATATTCTGCTGAAGAACCCTGCTGTAGTCTTTTCACATACATCTTCTATGATTAAGTTTCGAGACTTGCGTGGTGGCTATCTTTCTTCTGAAAGATGTCATATTCACTTTTTTTTTATCTAGGCTAGGGCTGGTACACCTTCAAAGCACCCTAGGATGTTCAGGTTCCTTCTCCTGGGAGGAAGCCTACACGAGCATATCCTTGCTCAGCCTTTATTTCCTGCTTACTCAATACCACAACAGCTCTGGGACAGAACACACCAAGACTTTAGCCTCCCCCTGCTCCCCTAGAGTCAGGCTGAGTTTCCTCACAGGCCTCTCTAGAGGGGTCTGTCTTCCTCCCAGATACCCATAGAAGGGAAGGGCCTAACAAGAGACCCTGATAACCAGCTGCACAGCTCCTGCCTTCCCCCCTAGGGACAGAGAGGCCACTGCTGCTTTAATAAGACAGACTGAGAAGAGGGATACAGGTGGCATATAAATCTTATGTCCCTTCAGATGCTGGGCACCCTGCCTTCAGATAGAGTTGGAGCTTTTCCTTTTTGGTCCTATGAGCTAATACATAAAGCATCACAAGAAAAGAGCATTAGTCATGAAGGAAGTTCACGTGGGAACTTGCTGCATTTCCAGATACAGGCAGGCCCTGGCAGCTGGTGTGTCAGTATCAGGCAGGAGCTGCCCATAAACCCCGTTACCATGAGATGGCCAAGCTCATCCCGCAGCTGCAGGGTGTCACTAGCTCCATAATGTGCAATGGGCTCCTGGTCAGGATCATCTCTGCTTCGTCCCACACACAATTTCCCTTTCCCACAGGTATTATAAATGAAACATGATGTTGATAACAAAGGGTCTTCTCAAGGCCAAGTACAAGGCCTAAGAGAGTGGACATTACCTGTTCAAGATCATTAGGTCTTTGACTACAATGTCTTCTGCAAGGAGGGACTGAGCTCTGTAGGGTCTCATCTATGTGGGGGCTTGGTTTCTTACCTCACATTCCCTATAGCGGCTGCTTGACCTCCCCACAGACCCTTATAGAGACACCTGGCCTTCTCCCAGAGTCCTATATAGTACCCTCCCTCCCTAACCCGCACCCTGCTCCCTCCCCTGGAGCGTTATAGCAGAGCGTGGCTCCTTCACAGGTCCATAGAGGGGAACCTGCCCTCCTCCTAGGCTTCCATAGATGAGCCTTGCCTCCCTGCCAGTCCTTTTAGGGGAAGCCTTGCCACTCCCTTATAGAGAAGTTTGGATTCTTCCCTGGTTCCTAGAGATGATCCTGGCCTCAAATCCCATGCTCAGCAGGTGAACCCAGCTCCCTCCCAGGCTCCTATAGAGAAGCTTGGCCTCCACACAGCACTTTATAAAGGATACTGTTCCCCCACAGGCCCTTGTAGGCGGGCCGATCCTCATCTCAAACACATATAGAGGGGCCTGGCCTCCCCACAGGCTCCTATGAAGTAGTCCAACCTCCCCCAGGCCCTTACTAAGGAGCCTATGATGCAGAGAGTTGACCAATGTACAGGGGGGTTGTACAAGGGGGTTAGAGGAATTTGCTTGCTTAAACAAAACTATTGTCTGTTGTAAATGCCTGCTAAGCAGAACAAAGGCACCTGATCCTATTGATAAGGAAAAGCAGACACTTGGTCGTACTGATAAGCAGCTATTGATAAGGAAATGCAGACACTTGATGCTATTGATAAGCAGCTATTGATAAGGAACTGATAAGGGGGAGAAGCAGACGGTTTATGGCTGGGATACCGACCAAACCCTAAGGCCATATGTGAAGACTGAAAAGTGAAAAGTGCAAGAAGAGGAAGACCCATTTACTTTATCTTGAAGACCCCTACCCACAGGAAGAAGACTCAGTTACTTCATCTTGAGACCCCTGCCCATGACCAGAGGGGGCACTGTGCAGGTGCAGAGGACCTTCTGGCTCGTTATAATATGAAGCAGGGATAGGACATGAATATGTATAGGCGTGTTGTGCAACCTTATGAATATATGAACTTTAGAGAATAAATGAACTTTAAATGAACTTTAGAGAATAAATGTAGAGGGAAACAACACTGAGGTATGCATGACTTTGAGGAATTATCCCCGTGCGTCTCAGCACTGAATAAAAAGCATACCTACTTTACAACTTTAACGAGTTGTGGAGTCAATCCGCCCATCACCTAGCCTTCCCATAGGAGCATATATCTGAGCCTACCCCAAGCCTGCTCCCCTCCTGACAGCAGACCTGCCTCACCCAGGCCAGGCCTGGCGGCCAGGCCCCGCCTACCGGCTCTGCGTTCTGCGTTGCGTTCTTCCGTTTTTCACATAACCTTCGATCTGCTGATGGGAAGGGAGCGGGTGGGGCGCTGTCATGATACCCCTACTTCCGTCCGCAGCCGCCGTTGCCACGTCTTGGTGGTGGGGCAGAGCATGGCCATGGCGGAGGCTGTGAGGGGGCCCCGCAAGGCCCACACCAAGAGCAGGCCCGAGGTGCGGGGGGAAGGCGGGGATCGGCTCCGGGTGAGGCTCCTCAGGTCCTCGTTCGGGCTGCTTCCGCCGCCTCCCGGTTCTCGTTTATCCAGTGACCTTAGAGCAGAGGGGAGGAGCCTGCGGGGTTGGTACACGCCGGGGGGGGGGCGGGTTCGTCAGCCCTTTGTCTCGTGTTCGCGCCTATTCCTGAGTGGGTTTAAAGCGGCGGACAGGGTGTCAGCTCCAGGCCGTGCTTGTGTCCGTGTTTGTTTGTCTGCTGCTGGAAGCGGCGAGATCGGGGGGTGTGTGCCTATCTGAAAACACATGTCCCATCCCTGGCAGTGATCAAGGCCAGGCTGGATGGGGCTTAACACAACCTGGTCTAATGGAAGGTGTCCCTGCCCGGGTTTCAGTAGTTGTGGAATGATCTGAACTGAAATACCTTGCCTCACAGCCAGATCAATTTGGGAATGTTTCTCTGAATTGCCTAACCTCTTTCATGTTGTACACTGCACCCCAGAGAGCAACGGCAGTGAAGTCCTGGTTGTCAAAGCCCTTTGAGAATAAATTGGTGAATTAATTGACCACTGTTTGAGAAAACAAGGGTCAGAGCTAAGTGTCAGCTATGGCTGTGATTCCAGAACAAGTTTTATTTTGTGGCTGCGCTTCCATGATTTATTTGGTGGCAGGGCGTGGCAGGGCATGGCTGGAGCCACACATGAAGTCAGAGCAGACTGTCGCCACACAGGGCAGGTTTTATCTTTCCTTAAACACGGACTTCGTTAGCACCGTGCTCATTCCCCCTTAAGCCAAGACGACTGATCCTGGATGCAGCAATGACAATGGTACTGCTGCAAAGGAAGTTTTTTTACATGTTCGGTGACAAATGTATCTTGCAAACTACTGTTTGAAGACAGAATCCTGAATCCCTGGGTACGTAGCTCTACTTCTACCTGAATCTCTTAAGCTTAATAATCCTCGCTGTGACACATTCTTCTGAGGTAGTGTATGATCTCTATTTCCCAAGTCCATGTACATGATTTGGGTGGTGGTGGGGTAGGTGTGCAAATACACGTTCCTGTATTGTCAACCCTATAACTGTGGGATCTGGCAGAGGTTCCTCTGTCCTGGGGTACATGTTTAACACTTGAATTTCCCAGACTTTTCTAGGCCCTGGCCACCACTGAGGGGCTGTACTGCAATGATTCTATCACCTGAAAGGAGGTTGTGAGGTGGGGGTCTGTCTCCTTGCCCAAGTACCACGTGATAGGACAAGAGGAAACGACCTCAAGCTGCACCAGGTGAGCTTTAGGCTGGGTACTGGGAACAATTTCTTCCCCGAGAGGGTTGTCAAGCACTGGACAGGCTGCCCAGGGCAGTGGTGGAGTCACCATCCCTGGAAGTGTTTAGAAGGTGTGCAGATGTTGCACCTTGAGACACGGTGTAGTGGTGGATTTGGCAGTGTAGGGTAAACGGTTGGACTCAATAATCTTAAAGGTCTTTTCCAGCCTAAATGATTCCACACTTCTAATCAGAGCATCTACAAGATGATGCTTTGGCCACCTTACATTGTGCCTTTATTTCTGTGTACACATGGCGGGCAGCATCCCTACCCCAAGGGCTGGCATTCTGCTCTCCTGTGCTGAGTCCACTCTCTGCTGCAGCCACATTTGTCTGCTGCCCTGAGCCTTGGTGAACGTCCCCAGCATGGCTCTTCTGTCGAAGCAGCTGGCTATTCATGGCTGTGGGTTTGAAACAGCTCCGGGTCTTGAATCCTGAGCTACACTTATCATGTGTCTCTCTATGAGCTTACTGGGGTGGACATAGGTCCTTAATGCCATCTGAGTTTGGCCTATGCCTCTTACTTTCCTAAGCCACATAGTCCATCGTGGAGCTTCGATGCTCAGTGATGTGTTGACTCTGGTTCGGTTGTCTTCACAGAGAGAGCTGATAATGGAAGTGATTCACAAAACCAGGAATCTGCAGTACAAAAAGACCATGGCGATAAAGCAAACATGCTGTTCTTTCTTGCTGTATGTTTTAACACTGCTAACACATGCGCACAGTGCTGGTGCAGTCTTAAACATGAGGGTCTTCCTCTGCTGCAACTCATGCAGACATTACCATCAAGAGCTGCAGCAGAGGAAGACCATCACATTTAAGTCTGCAAAGTGTGCTTTGAAAAACTGAAAAGTACACCATGGACATGGCTGGTAGCAGTCTTGAAGGCCTGGATAGGAGGGATGTAGATGTCAAGGACTCAATTGCTATGAGTTTTTCATCCCAAATGAAGAGCAGTTTGTTTTGTGAGGTCAATTTTGCTCAAACTGTAGGGCACTGGAGGCCGTGTGTGCTGTCCCCTGCTCTGTGGGCAGCCTGTGTCCACGTCTTCGCTTGGAGGCTGTGTTTTCCTCCAGGGCTACGTTCATGAGCTGTAAGAGGAACTCCTTAATTGCTAACATGCTCCTGTCCTGTTTGTTGGCTCTCCTAGGCCAAGCGCCTTTATGAGCAGCACTGCAGTGATAAGGATGCGGTGTAAGAAGCTGTGCACAACACAAACGTGATTACACAGAAGCAGCAGGAGAAGGTATAGAGAGGCAGGTGGCCATGGGACAGGAGGAGAAAGTGTGTATGTTCTTGGAGCTCTCCTGCCCCATAACTGTTCTCCCAGCTCTGGGTTTGGGGGTGAGATGGAAGGGCTTACAATGTTCTCTAGTTGGGCTTCAGTGCCTTTGGCAATGCACTTGTGCTCTCCTCTAGCTTTCTCCTCTCTCCCATTTTTGGTAGCTGTTCCTCAATCTGGCTCAGATTAAATCACCGAGTGGAGGACTCGGGTTGGTGTTGAAATGTAGGGTTTGGAAGGTGAGGGGAGTGTTTGCTGGGGCAGGGGTTGTGCAGCCATGGCATGGCTCTTGAGTGAGCTCCAGCTCCTGCGTCAGGGGTGGCTCCTCAGAAACTCATGCCCAACATAGCAGAGGTGGAGAAGCCTGCATAGCCATACGAAGGCTCCTCCCACCATTTCCCTGTGGCATGACTCTCCACCATGCTGTGTAGCTCTGCATCTCCTTGCAGTGCACATCCATAGCTGAGCTCACACATTACTGCTGCTTTCTCCCTTATGCTCATGGCAATTCAAGCTTCATGTACTGCCTTCTAGAAAAGGGTCTTTTTAATCCATGTTAGTTAGATGACAGTGTGATTTGTCTCACAGGCAGGAGTTACCAGCAGAGCGTTACCACACTAGAGAAGATCTGGGAAGAACGGCAGAAAGAGCACGTCAAAGCTTGTGAGGTAAAAGCCCCCAAATGCCTTCACATGGCAGTGTGGTCCTCTGGATGTCCACTCCTTGCTGCAGGGGTCCAGGATGGCACAGATCTGCCTTCTCTCTGTTGCCCTGGCAGTGAAGCAGCGGGATGTGTTGCAGCTAACCCTGTGTGTCTTACGCTTGCCTTCTGCATTTAAGGTCCCACCACTTCAACGTTTCCACTATTTTTTTGTTTTTATTTTTCCTCCACTACGTTTTCAAATTAATGGAATCAAAGTAGAGACATCTTTGCCCATTAACCTGCTTGTGTGTTTGGTGTGGCTATTCTGTTTAATAGCTGTGGCCACCTCTGGGTAGTCAGTGACTTAAGGCGGTGTGTCCTACAGCCACAACACCACCTACCAGACTCTGAAATTCTGATGGACTTTAAATGAGTTTGCAGCAGAAGGTGCTGGCATACTTGGGATGCAAGCTGCATGAAGCCATCTCCGTGTGAACTGAGTGTGCCAGCAGCCCTTCACCATATATCTGATGTGGTAGCATGGGAACCCCTCTGAGCAGATGCATCAGTCTAAACCAGACTGTCTCATAGCAAAATTGTCTAGCCAGGACTTCTATGAAGTGCTAGGAAGTCCGAAACTGGTGGTGAGAGGAACATAACGCTTCTCTCCTGCTGACCTGTGTCGTCTTGTCTGTGTGTGGTGTGTAACCAGGGGTCAAAGGAGGTGATCCGGCTCCTCTACTCTGAGCTTGTGAGACCTCACTTGGAGTATGTCCTCAACATAAAAAGTACATGGAGCTGTTGGGGCTAGTCCAGAGGAGGGCCACGAGGATGACAAGGGGGCTGGAGTACCTCCCATATGAGGACAGCCTGAGAAAGTTTGGGTTGTTGATCCTGGAGATGAGAAGGCTGCGTGGAGCCCTCCTAGCAGCTTCCAGTATCTGAAAGGGGCCTACAAGGATGCTGGGGAGGGAACTCTTCCTTAGAGATTGTAGTGATAGGACAAGGGGTAATGACTTCAAACTTAAGCAGGGGAAGTTTACGTTAGATATAAGGAAGAACTTCTTTACTGTGAAGCTGGTGAGGCCCTAGAATAGGTTGCCCAAGGAAGCTGAGAAGGGTCCATCCCTGGCAGCCTTCAAGGCCAGGTTGGACGCAGTCTTGGGTGGCATGGTTTAGTGCAAATTGTTCCTGCCCATGGCAGGGGGGTTGGAAGTAGATGATTTTAAGGCCCTTTCTGACCCTAACTATTCTATGGTTCTGTGATTCTATGGACAGGAAGTGCAAAGGTTGAGGTTTTATCACATGTCTGCTGCAACTTTGGAAACAGCAAGTGGTAGTAAGTGCCATGTACACATGGGATGAAAGGCTGTCTTTCAGGGAAATGTGTAAAGGCTCATGAAGTTGAGCTATATCAGACTCAAAATAAGAATCAGACGGGGAGGGCTTATTTCATGAGGTTTCCTCTGGGATTCCCATGTTTTTTGAGGGTAGTGAGGCCCTGGCACAGGTTGGTCAGAGAAGCTGC